GGACGGGGTCTCCCTCTGCTGCCTCCATTCATTCCATGGGAATATTTTCCCAGTGGGAGCACAACTGGGCCAGGCTTTCTGCCAAGTGACCACACAATAAGCTGCAGGCTGGAGTTTGAGCTCCCAAAGTGAGCCCAGTGTGGTTCACGGACTGATGTCAGAGCATTCCAGGGCACTCAGGAGGTGATAGGCTCCCGCTCCTCTTTTCTCTGGGTTCCTGCAGGATGTGGACAACAAGGTGGAGCGGGTGTGGGGTGACTGCAGCTGCAGGAAGAAGTATTCTCATGTGGACCTGGTGGTGATGGTGGACGGCTATGAGGGGGAAAAGGGCGCTGTGGTGGCTGGCAGCCGTGGCTACTTCCTTAAGGTGAGAGCTGTAATCCCAGGATGATTGGGTTCAGAGAGGGACGAGGAGGCACGGGGCCTTGGGTTCTCCTCCCCTGGGATTGATGATGGGAGCCTCCAGGGGCCTCCTGTGCCCTCTGAGCAAGGAGGAGTGGCCCAGCGGAGTGTGTATGTGACAGGCAGTGTGACCCTTGTTCCCAGGGCCCGCTGGTGTTCCTGGAGCAGGCACTGATCCAGTACGCGCTGCAGAGCCTCCGTGCCCGGGGGTACACTCCGGTGTACACCCCCTTCTTCATGCGGAAGGAGGTGATGCAGGAGGTGGCCCAGCTCAGCCAGTTTGATGAGGAGCTTTACAAGGTAAGGGATTGCTCTGGATTTGGGACTTGGAAGCAAGCCACCCCCCTGGGGCTGTGGAGAGGGAGGCAGCGGAGTCCCTTCTGCCCTGGCAAGTTAGTGGTGGTGGCAGTGGTGGTGGCAGCAATGGTAGCAGTAATTCCTTCTCCTCTCCTTGAGATCCATCTCTTATGTTGTGATGATGATGATGTGACAGGGAGATAGCTTGTCTTGGGGTTCCACCTCTGTGTGAAACATTTCGTGGTGACACTGCAGTGACAAGGAGGTGGCTCATCTCGGATCCATCTCCATGGGTGACACACTGTGATGGCCAGGAGGTGACAAGGAGGTGGCTGGTCTCTGGAGTCCATCTCCATTTGTGACATGCGGTGACAAGGATGTAGCTTATCTCTGGGGTCCATGTTTATGGGTGCCACATGATGGTGATGAGGTGACAAGGAGGTGGCTCTTTGGGGTCCATTTGCACAGGTCACACATGATAGCAGTGCAGTGACAAGGAGGTGGCATGCTCTGGGGGCCATCTCCATGGGTGACAGGTGACAAGGAGGTGGCTTGTGATGGTGATGACATGACGAGGAGGTGGCTCATGTTCATGAGTGATACAGGTGACTTGTCCCTGCCATCAGCCCCTTTGAATGACCAACAAACTCCCCCTGTGATGAATTCCCAAACCATCTGGCCCTGGAAAACTTCCCTGATGATCCCTGGAGTTGCAGGAGCAGCTAGAAGGGGGCCAGTGGCTCATGTCTTCTACAGGTGATTGGGAAGGGCAGTGAGCGGGCGGAGGACAGTTCCATCGATGAGAAGTACCTGATTGCCACGTCAGAGCAGCCTATCGCCGCCCTGCACCGTGATGAGTGGCTGCGGCCTGAGGACCTGCCCCTCAAGTATGCGGGACTCAGCACCTGCTTCCGCCAGGAGGTGGGATCCCATGGCCGGGACACCCGTGGCATCTTCCGCGTCCATCAGTTTGAGAAGGTGAAGGAGCGGTCCTGGGAGGAATTTGGAGTATACTGAGGGTTGCTGTGGGGTTCCAGTGGGAATTCAGCATGTTCCAGTGGAAATTCATGGTGTATCTGGTGCCACTGCGGCATACCCAGCAGGAATTCAGGGTGTACCCATTGTCACTGTGGTGTTCCAGCAGGAGCTGGAGTGTATATCCCATGTCACATTGGGTTCCAGTGGGAATTCAGGGTGTACCTGGTGTCACTGTGGGGTTCCAGCAGCAATTCAAAGTGTTCCGGGTGTCATTGTGGGGTTCTGATGGCAATTTGGGCTATACCCAGTGTCACTGCAGGTTTTCACTGGGAATTTAGGGTGTACTGGGTGTCACTGTGACATTCCAGTTGGAATTCAGGCTGTACCTGGTGTCACCGTGGGGTTTCCATTGGAATTGGAGCTATACCTGGTGTCACTGTGGAATTCCTTCTCTTGCAGATTGAACAGTTCGTCTATTCCTCCCCCCATGACAACAAATCCTGGGAGATATTTGAGGAGATGATGGCCACAGCTGAGGAATTTTACCAGTCCCTTGGGATTCCCTACCACATCGTCAACATCGTCTCGGGTAGGGGCTCCTGTGCTACAGGGGCGTTGAGGGGGGCCCTGACCTACTTCCTGCATGGCAGTTTCTTATCCCTGGCTCATTGCAGTCCCCAGCCTGAGATGGAGGAAGAGAAGGGGACATTTTGTTTTTTGTGGAATCTTCAGCCTTGCTCTGGGTCCATGGGAGCAGGTGTGGACACTGCTGTGATGGATTGTCCCTGCTGTCCCTTCCAGAGGGACAGTTGGAGTGTCTAGCTCCTCCTGGAAATGCTCACAGGAAAAAGATCTGGTTTAAAAACTCCCTGTGGCTGAGTGGGACCCCTTTATCCCATTGGCAGAGGGAGAAAATCACATTCCCACACCAAGTGGGAACCCCACATCCCCACGGTTGAAATCCCTCATTCCTGTGGCCAAGCAGGAATCCCAGATCCCCATGGTAGAATCCTACCTCCCCATAATCAAGTGGGAAGCTCATATCCATGTGGCTGAGAAAGAACCCCATGTTCCCAATAGCTGATTGGGAATCTCACATCCACATGGCTGAGAGAGGCTCCCACATTCCTGTGAGCAAGCAGGACCCCCATATCCCCATGGCACAGCAAGAACCCAATGTCCTGTGGCTGAGCAGGCGTTCCCCATCCCCGTGTCTGGGCAGGACTCCCACACCCCCACATCCCCATGACCAAACAGCTTGTGGCTTGTTGACCCTGGGGCCAAGCAAAACAGAAATCCATGTTGGATCGGCACCAAACTGTGGGAGTGACTTTGGAGGCTTCACCCTACACTCTGCCCCAGGATAGGCAAATTCAGGATGGTAGTGGGCCCCCCCACTCAGTACAGTCCCCCCTCCAGGCTCCCTGAACCATGCAGCCAGCAAAAAACTGGATCTGGAGGCTTGGTTCCCTGGCTCTGGTGCCTTCCGTGAGCTTGTCTCCTGTTCCAACTGCACCGATTACCAGGCCCGGCGCCTGCGCATCCGCTATGGCCAGACCAAGAAGATGATGGACAAGGTCAGACTAGTGGGCATAGGGGAGTTCTTCCTGTGTCCCTTTGCTTTCTGCATGTCACAGGTGTCCCCTGTGTCCCCTTGCCACAGGTAGAGTTTGTGCACATGCTGAATGCCACCATGTGTGCTACCACCCGCACCATCTGTGCCATCCTGGAGAACCACCAGACTCCTGAGGGCATCCGCATCCCTGAAAAGCTCCAGAACTTCATGCCTCCAGGTAACATCCCCCTGTGCCCTCCCCATTCCCTGCTCCTTGGCGGGGTGGGGGGGGGGGGGGGTGACGGGGGGGGTGACAGCAGTCCTTTGTCCCCCCAGACCTGCGGGAGCTGATTCCATTCGTCAAGCCAGCACCCATTGAGCAGGAGCTCTCCAAGAAGCAGAAGAAGCAGCAGGAGGGAGGGGGCAAGAAGAAGGCAGGGAGGGGACGAGACCAGGTGCTGGAGGAGCAGATGAAGAACATGGAGGTCTGAGGGTGCCCACTGCAACCCAAGGACTTTGGGGGCCTCCCAAATCATCTCACCTTCATCGCCAGGCTGTGCCCTTCATTATCATCTTTGCCTCGGAGGGGAGTCACCATCTGTCCCCTCTGTTCCACAAAGAACTGACACTGTCAGGGTGCTGCCCGTCTCCCTGTGTGTCCCCCTTACCCTGCTGACTCGGGCCGGGATCCCCCATGTGTCCCCCTCATGCTGAGTGGTGCTGGGGACCTCCGTGCCCATGTAACATACCCTCCAAAATAAAGCCAAGAGCTGCTGAGATGTGTATTCTTGGGGGGATCCGAGGAAAGAATGAGGGGGTCCAGCCGGGGAGATGTCTCCGTTGCACACCACCCTTTCCCTCCCCCCCTCCCCCGCACCTCCCTCCCCCCCTCCCCCGCACCTCCCTCCCCCCCTCCCCCGCACCTCCCTCCCCCTTCTCCCTCGCTCCTGCCAGCCCCACACAAAGCCCCTTTGTGATGCAAAGTGGGGCCGAGAGCCCCCAGCTGCTGCTCGTCCCCTCCCCTCCGGGATGGGGTGATACACGGGAGGGTTGCCCCCTTCTATCGCCAAGCGGGGAGGCCTGGCTGTCCCCCGCTGCTCTGCGTGGGAAGCCCCCGGCAGGCCTTGGATGTCGGGTGGAACCGGCGGGGAGTGGCCCAGTGAGTCACCGGAGCCCCCGGCGGAGGCGGAGGGGTTCCGGCTCTCCAAGCGCCGCCCCGGCGCTGGGAGGCCCCTCCCCGATACCCGTCGGACCCGTTCTGCCGGGGGGCGCGGGGGAGGCGGCTCCGCACCGCCTGCCTGCACCCACGCGGCCGGCGCCGGCTTGGGCGGGGTGGGGGGAGCAGCAGCCACCGACTGCGGGAATCCGCCTCCGTCTAGCTTCTCCAGTCCCTCCGAGTCTGTTCAAGCGCTCCCGACATCCCCAGTCCCTCCCAGTTTGCCCCAGTGCCTCCCAGCTCACCCAGTCCCTTCCAGTTTGCCCCAGTGTGCCCCCGCACGCCCAGTCCCCCTCTGCCTGGTCCAGTCGCTCCCAGTCTGTTCTATTGCCCCCGTTCCTGGTGCGGCCGGGGATCTGGGGTGGGGACACGGTGTGAGGGGATACGGACTTCCGTGTGTGGAGTCACGGCCGGCGGTGGGGACACGGGGGGTCGGGGGGCGTGAGTATGCCACACGTGCCGTGTGTTTACACACGATCTCTGGGCTGTGTCACACACGTGCTCTCTGTCTCGTGTATGCTCCGTGTGTGTTTCACATGTGCTATGTGTGTCACATGCGTGGTTCCCATGTCATATGTGCTTGCTGGTGCCTGTATACCCTGCGTGTGCGACGTGCGTGTTCCCTACGCGTGCAACACGCGTGCCTGCAATGCACAGGTGGGTGCAAGGCCCTTCACATCTGTGTATGTACGTGTGTGCGCGCAAGTCTCAAATGCGCACCTCCCACGAGTGCGCGCAACCTGCGCGCAATGCGCCCTCGCTGCCCCGCGCTGCGCTGCCGCCGCGGTTGCGGCGCTGCCGGGGGCGGCGGTGGCGGCTCCTTTAAGCGCGGCCGAGACGGTGAATTGGCGGCTCCGCCCCTGCGGGCGCGCTCGGACGAAGGCGGGGCGCAGGCGACGGCGCGGGTCGCTGCGGGCACCAGCCCCGGCACCGGGGACACCGGGGGCAGCGGCCATGGGCCCTCCGCTCACCCGCCGGGCCGCACTCCGGCTGCTGCCGCTGTTGCTGCTGCTGCCGCTGTTGCTCCTGCTGCCCGCGCCGGGACTCGCCACCGCCATCGGCACCGGCATCAGCACCGGCACCGGCACCCGCACCCGTCCGTCCAGCACGCTACCGGCGGCACTCCAGTTCCGCGGCGGCACCGGGGACAGCGGCGGCGCGTGGCCCCCGCCGAGCACCGGGGACAGCGGCGACAGCGCTGGGCCCGCACCGGCCGTGGGCGGCAGCGATGGGACGGCACCAGGCGCTGGCTCTTCCAGTGGGGACAGCGGCAACGGTATTAGGGGGTCCCCAGGTATCGGCGGCTCCAGGGTTACCTGGGACACTGGAAGCACCGTGAATGCTGGAGACACCTGGAAGCCTGGAGGCTCTGGGGGCGTTGAAATCACCAGGGACGCTGGAGGCACCTGGGATAGTGGAGGCACCAGGGTTACTGGAGGAACTGGAGACACTGGAAGCACCTATGTCCTCAGGGGCACCAGGAGTGCCGGGAATACTGGACACGCTGGGGACACCAGCATTCCCATGGAGGACACTGGGAGCACTGGGAACTTGCTGAGCACTGGGAGTGTTCGGGGCACTGGGAGCACTCCAGTCCCCAGGGGCACCAGGAATTCTGAACTCACTGGGGAGACTGGGAGAGTCTCCACAGGTGCTGTCAGCACTAGGAAAGTCCCCAGGGATACTGGGAGCACCAGAGATACTGAACATAATGGGGAGTCTGGGAAAGTCCCCAGCAACACCAGGAACACTGTGGACACTGGACGTGCTGGGAACACCAATATCCCCAGGGAGACCAGTGGCACTGGGGATGTGATGGACACTGGGGATGTTGTGGTGTTCCAGGCCACAGCAGTCCCCAGGCCCCCCATACCTCACCACCGTCCCTGCCGCAGCCCCAACACAGCACCGCAGTTCCAGCCCTCCAGCTACCAGGCCACAGTGGAGGAGAACCAGCCAGCACGCACTCCAGTGACACAGGTGACAGCACAGGACCCTGATGAGGGGGAGGCAGGCCGGCTGCACTACTCTATGGCTGCACTCTTCGACAGCCGTTCCAATGACCTCTTCACGGTGGACCCTGTCACTGGTGCCATCAGCACTGCTGCACCGCTGGACCGTGAGAGCAAGAGCACTCATGTGTTCCGAGTGATAGCAGTGGACCATGGTACACCCCGGCGCAGTGCCATGGCCACGCTGACGGTTACAGTGAGTGACACTAATGACCACGACCCAGCCTTTGAGCAATTAGAATACCGGGAGAGTGTGCGAGAGAATCTGGAGGTGGGCTATGAGGTACTGACAGTGCGGGCTACCGATGGTGATGCTGGTCCCAATGCCAACATCCTCTACCGCCTCCTCAATGCTGGTGATGCCAACGAGGTCTTTGAGATTGATTCCCGCTCAGGTGTCATCCGTACCCGTGGCCCTGTGGACCGGGAAGTAGTGGATACCTTTGAGCTGTTGGTGGAGGCCACGGACCAGGGCCAGGATCCAGGTCCCCGGAGTGCCACGGCCACTGTCCGCATTGCTGTGGAGGACGACAATGACAATGCACCGCAGTTCAGCGAGCGACGTTACGTGGCACAGGTCCCTGAGGATGTGGTGCCCAATGTGGCGGTTCTGCAGGTGATGGCCACCGACCGTGACAAAGGCAGCAATGCACTGGTGCACTACAGCATTGTCAGCGGCAACACCCGTGGGCACTTCTACATTGATGCACAGACAGGCGCGCTGGATGTCGTTACCCCCCTGGACTACGAGGTCACCAAGGAGTTCACCCTGCGGATCCGGGCGCAGGATGGTGGCCGCCCACCTCTCTCCAACATCAGTGGTTTGGTTACTATCCAGGTGTTGGATGTCAATGACAATGCACCCATATTTGTCAGCACGCCCTTCCAGGCCACCGTGCTAGAGAATGTCCCCGTGGGCTACTCCGTCATCCATGTACAAGCCATTGATGCCGATTCAGGTGACAACAGCTGGTTAGTTTACACCCTGCTGGAGACTGGCACTGGTTTCCCCTTCACCATCAACAACAGCACTGGGTGGATTGTGGTGGCCTCTGAGCTGGACCGGGAGGTGGTAGACTTCTACAGTTTCAGAGTGGAGGCGCAGGACCATGGCACCCCCTCGATGGCCTCCACGGCTAGCGTCAGTGTCACCATCCTGGATGTCAATGACAACAGCCCTGAGTTCACCCAGCGGGAGTACAGCGCCCGCCTGAATGAGGACGCGGCAGTGGGCACCAGTGTCCTGACTGTCTCTGCTGTCGACCGTGATGCTTACAGCATCATCACATACCAGATCTCCAGTGGCAATACCCGCAACCGGTTCTCCATCACCAGCCAGAGTGGTGGTGGGCTCATCTCCCTTGCCCTGCCCCTGGACTACAAGCTGGAGCGGCAGTACCTGCTCACCATTGCTGCTTCTGATGGCACCCGCCATGATACTGCCCAGGTGGTTGTCAATGTCACCGATGCTAACACCCACCGCCCCGTCTTCCAGAGCTCCCACTACACCATTAACGTCAATGAGGATCGGCCAGTGGGCACAACTGTGGTGGTCATCAGTGCCACGGACGAGGACACGGGGGAGAATGCCCGCATCACCTACCTGATGGAGGACAGCATACCCCAGTTCAGCATTGCTGCTGATACTGGTGCTGTCACCACCCAGATGGAACTGGATTATGAGGACCAGGTGTCCTATACCTTGGCCATCACGGCACGGGACAATGGTATCCCTCAGAAATCTGACACAACTTACCTGGAGATTCTGGTGAGTGATGTCAATGACAATGCACCCCAGTTCCTCCGTCATTCCTACCAGGGATCCATCTACGAGGATGTCCCTACCTTCACCAGTGTCCTCCAGGTCTCCGCAACTGACCGTGACTCTGGGCTCAATGGCAGGGTCTTCTACACCTTCCAAGGGGGTGATGATGGTGATGGCGACTTCATCATTGAGTCCACCTCGGGCATTGTCCGCACCTTGCGCCGTCTGGACCGGGAGAATGTGCCGCTGTATTGCCTGCGGGCATTTGCCATGGATAAGGGGATTCCAGCCCGGCGGACGCCAGTGGAGATCCAGGTGACAGTGTTGGATGTCAATGACAACCCCCCTGTGTTTGAGCGGGACGAATTTGACATCTTTGTGGAGGAGAACAGTCCCATTGGACTGGTGGTGGCCCGGATCACTGCCACTGACCCCGATGAGGGCACCAATGCCCAGATCATGTACCAGATCGTGGAGGGCAACATCCCTGAGGTCTTTCAACTGGATATCTTCTCTGGAGAGCTCACTGCCCTGGCTGACCTGGACTATGAAACCAAGGCTGAATACATCATGGTGGTCCAGGCAACCTCAGCACCACTGGTGAGTCGGGCCACCATCCATGTGCGCCTGTGTGACACCAACGACAACAGCCCCCAGCTCAAGAACTTCGAGATCCTCTTCAACAACTACATCACCAACCGCTCCAGCAGCTTCCCTGGGGGCATCATTGGCCGCATCCCTGCCTATGACCCCGACGTCTCTGACCACCTTACTTATGCTTTTGAGCAGGGCAATGAGCTCAACCTCGTGCTGTTGGATCCACACACTGGGGATCTGCGCCTCAGCCCAGCCCTGGACAACAACCGCCCACTTGAGGCCATCATGAGGGTTTCTGTCTCTGGTAAGACCCCCACCCATGGAAGGCACCTTTCAGGGGGAGTAAAGTTTGTGGGTATATCGACCTCTATTTCTGCACAGAGGCGAGGTGTTATGAGGTCTCACTACACTGTTTTGACTGCCCCCACCCTCCAGATCAGAAGGGATGCTGTATTGTGGGGTCCCACCACCTCGCTGAGGTATTTTAGAGTTCCACCACCCCATCCTGATTGCCTTCACCCTCCAGATCTTGGGGAGGGGGGATAATGGGATGCTGTGCCCCCCTCACACACCAGACATACAGGCTGGAGGCCGTCAGGGTCCCTAGCATCCCCTTTGCTTTCCCCATCCCCCCCGGGCTGTCCAGAGGTGGTCCTAGCACTTCTCTGTCTGTCACTGAGCAGGGTGGGACAGGACCCAGTGCATGTATTGGGGGAACAGAGGGTGGTGTGGGCCAGCGGGGTCCTGGTACCATTGGGGGCTTGTTTTGGGGGTCTGATGGGTGAATCTGGGGAGGCTCAGGGTGCAGTGCAGTACTGAGGGAGTCCTGGCACCGCCATGTTTGTGTTTCCAGGAGACTCACTGGAATGAATTCAGTGCAGGAGACACAAGGCCTAGTGTGTTGTATTTAGGGGGCAAGGTGGCCTCCACTGAGAGGTCCCCAAACCCAATGTGGGGGGAAATCATTGCAAGATAAGGGGGGGTTGTGCCATCAATTGTCAGCACCGTTTGGCAGGTGGGGTGTCCAAGAGGTGTTTCTGGGGTATGGGGGTCACCCCAAGGTGGGGGAACACCTCCTTGGTCATCCCCAGGTCAGGGGGAAACTGGGTCACAGGCCATGCCCGATGTCCATTGTCCTCAGCCACATGGCTCCCATCGCCCCCCAGCTTCTCCTGGCAGGGATCCCTGCTCTGGCCACACAAAGCAGGGGGCCCAGGGCACAAAGAGTGGGGGCAGGGACTCCCCCCCACCAAGCGTAGGGGCAGGCGGAAGGGAAACAAAAGGTCCAGCCATAGCTGGGCCCTCACGGCCGCAGCCATGGTAACCTTCCCCTTCCCCCCGCCCCCCCCGCCAGCCACTGGCCACCAGTCACTGGCCACGGGCCACTGGGCGGCCCTGGCCCCTGCCACCCCCTGCAGCACTTCCTTCTGCCTTCTTGGCCCCCCCATCTGTCCCCATATTCCCTTCATCCATATGTCTGCCTGCTCCCCATCTGTCCTGCATCCCACCACCCTCAGCCCAGGGGAGGACAAAGAATAGGAGAAAGGTGGGTGCCCCAGTGCTTAGCAGAGATTTTGCTCCCCCACCCCCACAACCAGCACCAGCCCCTTAACCAGCACCATCCCCATACCAGCCCCAGCCCCAGAAACAGCTCCAGCCCCAGAAACCAGCATCAACCCCATAGCCAGTACCAACCCCATAACCAGTGCTGGCTCCATAATCAGCCCCAGCCTCATAGACAGAACCAGCCCCATAACCAACCACCAACCCCATTTAGCTGCCCCACCCCACAGTGTCCAGGCAGATGGGCACCTTATGACCCACACTGTTCCCATTCCAAGGTCACCGAGTAGACTTGACACCCACAATCAGTACCAGCCCCATAGCCAGCACCAACCCTGTAACCATCACTGTCTCCATTCCTTGGTGGCTGAGCAGGAAAGTCCCCCACAGCCTGCGCTGTCCCCACCTGAATGTATCCATTCCATGCTGGTCAAGCGGGATGGGCACCTCATAGCCAGTATTGTGCCCATTCCGCAGTGGCTACGTGGGCCAAGTGTTTCATGGCCAGCGCTGTCCCCATTCTTTGGTGGCCAAGTGCCCATAGCACCATCCCCGTCCAACAGCAGCTGATTTGGTTGGTTGCCCCATATCTAGCACTATTCCCATCCCACCATCCTTTCCCAGAGTTGTCCATCGGTGTCACTGACCCCCTCCTGTGTCCCCCCTTTGTCCCCAGATGGCGTTTACAGTGCAACAGCGCAGTGCACACTGCGGGTGACGGTGATCACAGATGAGATGCTCAGCAACAGCATCACCCTGCGTTTGGCCGACATGTCCCAGGAACGCTTCTTGTCCCCCCTACTCAGTCGCTTCCTGGAGGGGGTGGCCGCTGTCCTGGCCACCCCCCGCCACCGCGTCATCCTTTTCAACATCCAGGCGGACACAGATGTAGGGCCAGCGCGGATCCTCAATGTCAGCCTCTCGGCGCTGCTGCCGGCGGCGGTGCGGGGCGCGTCACGGTTCTTCTCGTCCGAGGAGCTGCAGGAGCGGCTGTACCTTAACCGATCGCTCCTGGCAGCTACCACAGCCCAGCAAGTCCTGCCCTTTGATGACAACGTGTGTCTGCGCGAGCCCTGCGAGAACTACATGCGCTGCGTCTCCGTCCTGCAGTTCGACAGCTCTGCGCCCTTCCTTGCCTCCGACACCATCCTTTTTCGCCCCATCCACCCCGTCACGGGCCTGCGCTGCCGCTGCCCGCCTGGCTTCACCGGTGACTACTGCGAGACCGAGATCGACCTCTGCTACTCCAGCCCCTGTGGCAGCAACGGGCGGTGCCGGAGCCGTGAGGGTGGATACACCTGCGAGTGCCACGAAGACTTCACTGGTTAGAGTGACTGGCCAGCCCCTCCTTGTAGTGTTCATCCTCATCTTTCCTCATCTAGCTCCTCTTCAGCCCCCTATCTCTCCCTCCCTCCCTCTTCTGGTAAACTGGTGACACTGGGGCTATACCCCCTACCCCCACCCTGGGACTCCTGCCAGCCAGGTGGGGGAGGGCATGTGAGAGGAGGGGGTATCTTTGGGTTCCCATGGTAATAGGAGGTGGTTGCCATGGTGATAGAGCTGGGGATAAAGATGCTGGGGGACAGGGAGGGAGAGGGGATCCCCACCCTCCCACTTAGGGTGCTTGGTGTCACATTGGGGAGCTCTGTGAGTGCCTGGGGGGAGAACTCAGGGGTTACTGGGGGGTGGGGAGGAGAGAGGACCCCCAGCCCCCATTTTTGGGGTGCTGGTGCCATGAGGGTATCACACAAGGGAGCCCTGCAAGCTGAGCACCTGAGAGGGGCCACTCCAGGTTTAATGGGGAGGTGTGGGGGGAAGATGGGACTCCTTATTCCAGTTTTGGGGTTCTGAATGTCAAACAGGGGAGCACTGTGAGCTGAGTGCGCGGGGGGGCCGCTGCACCCCAGGGGTCTGCCGGAATGGGGGCACCTGCCTGAACCTGCTGGTGGGGGGATTCCGGTGCCAGTGCCCCCCTGGGCACTATGAGAAGCCCTTCTGCACCATGAGCACCCGCAGCTTCCCCCCGCATTCCTTCCTCACCTTTCGTGGCCTCCGCCAGCGCTTCCATTTCACCCTTGGCCTCACGTGAGCCTGGGGGAATGTGGGGAGGTGGGAGGTGTGTGCCCCTGTGGGTGTCACATGGAGCGTGGGGTAGATGGTGATGTTTGTCCCATTGGCGTGAGATGCGGTAACGGGGTGTGAGGTGATGGGTGTCTTGTGGGCACTGGGTGGCTGTGTAGGTGCCCCCATTGGCATCATTTGGGATGTGGGATGGTGGGTGTCTCAAGGGCATCAGATGGGGTGGGTATGCCCCATTGGCATCATGTGGGATGAGTGGTGATTAGTGCCCCATTGACATCATATGGGCTACGGGGTGATGGGATGTGGGATGATGGGCACCCTGAGGGCACAGGGTGGGAGAAAAGGGTGTGGGTGACCCCTTGGCATGGGGGACAATGGGGTGGGGGACACCTTGTTGGGGGCATGGGCTGGTGCATGTAAGCATCTCACAGTGGGTACAAGGTCATGGGGTGGGGCATGAGGGGTGTGCCTCAGGGGCACCACAGCATCAGGGGGTGTTGGGGAGTGCAAGATGGGATTGGGGGTATTGGGGTACCTCTGGCATTTGTGCCCTCCAGGTTTGCCACACAGGAGCGGGATGGGCTCTTGCTGTATAATGGGCGCTTCAATGAGCGGCATGACTTTGTGGCACTGGAGATTGTGGATGAGCAGCTGCAGCTCACCTTCTCAGCAGGTATGCACTGCCCCTGCTGCGCCCTGGCCCCATACCCTGACACCCTTGTGGGCATTGTATCCTTCACTGCATCACTCATTTAATCCCAGAGATCCCATTCTGGCACTGCCTGGCACTGTATCCTGGGCATCATATTCCTGGCACTGCATCTCTCATTGCATTCCTCACTGCATCCCTGGCCTGCCATTCTTGGTGCTGCCTGACACTGTATCCCCAACATCCCTTCCCTGACACTGCATCCTGGACATTCCCTTGCTAGCACTGCAACCCTTGCTTCATGTCCCCAACACTGCATCCCTGGCACTGTATCCTGGGTATCCCATTCCTGGCACTGCCACCCCTCCTTGCCTCCAATTGTGCTGCCCTGACGCTGTGCCCACAGGTGAGACCACCAGCACAGTGTCACCCTTCGTACCAGGAGGAGTCAGTGATGGGCAGTGGCACCGGGTGCAGCTGCACTACTACAACAAGGTGGGGAAATGGGGGTCATGGGGGGGCACAGTGGGTGGGGAGTGTTTGGGATAGACAGAGGAAGGGAAGATGAAGGGGAAGGGTGGGGGCATGGAGAGATGGGGGATCAGGTAGGGGATTTGTGGCACCTAAAGGACCCCTAAGGAATGTGCCCACCCATGGGGGTCCCAAGGGATGGGAGATGGGAGATGAAGGAAGAAGAAGGAGTAGAGGGAAGGAGGGTGTTGGAGGGATGAGGAGAGTAGAGAGGAGATTTGGGGAGCTCCAAGGGACTGTCAAGAGATGCCTCCATCCATAAGGACCCCAAGGGACCCTCACCTACTTCCTCACCCATTGGCCCTGTGAAGAACCCCACCTACTTTCCTCACCTGTGGGGACCCCTGAGGAATTGGAATGGGGTGATGGAGGAAGAGGAGGGTCAAAGGGATGGAGGCTTGGGGGGGATGAAGGGGACCACTGAGGGGTTTAATGGGGGCTGAAGGGATGGAAGGGAGTGTTGGGGGGTCTGAAGGATGGGGGGCTTGTGGACTGAGGGACATGGGAGCCCAGTGTGGGTTGGGGGGGCAGAGGGCAGTGGAAGCATGAGGAGTGGGACAGAGGCTGCAGGATGGAGGTCCTGGGCCCTCCTGCCTAATGTGGGGGCCCTCCAGCCGGCTGTGGGGCGCTTGGGGGTCCCACAGGGCCCCTCAGAGCAGAAGGTGGCTGTGGTGACTGTGGACGACTGTGACACGGCCATGGCCCTGCGTTTCGGGCCCCGCCTTGGCAACTACTCCTGCGCTGCCCAGGGCACCCAGACTGGCAGCAAGAAGTGAGAGGGGCCTGGGGATTCCATGGGTGGGGTCCCTTGGGGTACCCATAGAGAGGTCCCTTGTAGATGAAAGGTCATTCTATGGGTGTGGTCCCTTTGGAATCCTCACTGGTGAGAGGTCCCTTGGGGATCACGGATCCCTTTGAATGGGGGAGTCACTGGAGGTCCCCATGGGTTTGGGGGATTCTCTTGGGGTCCCCATGTCCCTGGGGGGAAGTGGGGAGTCCCTTGGAAGTCTATTGAGTTCCCCATGGGTGAACACCCTTTGGCTGGTCCCTCAGGCCCCCATAGGTTTTGGGGTGAGTGAGTGTTCTTTGGGGTTCCCTTGTGACTCCCATGGGATGGTGGGTGGCTGGGTGTCCTTTGAGGTTCCCTTGGGGTCCCTATGGGCTGTGGGGTCCCTTGAGGGTTTCTTGAGTCCCCAAGGTGATGGTGGGCTCTGCAGGTCACTGGACCTGACGGGGCCACTGCTGCTGGGGGGGGTCCCAACGCTGCCCGAGAGTTTCCCGATCCGCAGCCGGCACTTTGTGGGGTGCATGCGGCACCTCCACATTGACCAGCGCCCCGTGGACATGTCAGCCTTCATTGCTAACAACGGCACCCTGCCCGGTGGGCTCCAGGATCGGGAGACTGGGCAGGGGCTGGGGAGGGACTGTGCTCCTTCGAGCAGAGGGAGATGGGGTGTGGGGTTAAGGGGTACCTGAACAGGGGGGCTGCGTCCCCTGAACGATGGGAGGGGGTTCCAGGGCTGGAGGGATGGATGGGGGTTCAGGGGGCATGGGGGATGCTGTGCCCTCTGGGTGCGGGATGGGAGGTTAAGGAGTGCAGGTGTGGGTTGAGGGATACCAGGACCATGGGGGTGTGCCCCCTGGGTGTGGGGAGGGGGTGCCAGAGTAATGGGGCTGGATGGGGGTCCAGGAGACACAGGGCAGAGCTGTAGGGAGGGGGTGAGGGGGTGCCAGGGCCATGGGGCTGGAGAGAGGCCCAGGGTTGGGGACCCCTGGGGTGTGGGATAGGAAGTCAGGGGATGTAGGTTTGAGTTCAGGGTTGCCAGGGCCACAGGGTGTGGGGTATAGAGTGGGAGTTGCTGGGGCTTGAGGGCTGGTTGGGGGCCCAGGTCTGGGCAGTGCTTGGTGGTCCCTGTGTCCCATGAGTGTGGGGAGGTGGTACCAGGCTCATGGGGCTGGATGTGGGTCCAGGGACACAGTGGTAGAGCATTCTGTGTCCCCTGGTTTGGGGTGGGAGGTGAGATGCTGCCAAGGCCATCAAGCTGGAATGGGTGGCAGAGACAAGGCTGTGTCCTCTGGGTGGGGAGGTGACCAGACTGGGAGGCTGTATCCCCTTAGGGGTGGGGTTGGGATGTGGGGTGGGGGCTCAGGGGGTATTAGGACCATGGGGTTGGACAAGGGTTCAAGGATGTGGGGGTTTCTGTGCCCCATGGGGTCAGGGGTCCCAAGTCATGTGTGGCATGTGACCCCTGTGCTCCCTCCCAGGTTGTCCTCCCAAGAAGACCCTGTGTGACACCAACACATGCCACAACGGTGGCACCTGTGTGCATGAGTGGGGGGGGTTCAGCTGCCACTGCCCACTGGGCTTTGGGGGCAAAACCTGCCAGGAGGGTACTGAGGGGCCTGGGGGGACAGTGTGGTGGGGCTGTGTGGGGTCCATAGGCTTGTTGTGGGTCCTTGGGGGGCATGGGGAGGGTCTCTTGTGGGTGTGAGGGGTGTGGGAAGAGGGTAAGGGGCATCCCTGCTTGCGTTTGGGGGCCTGTGGAGTTGTTGTGGGTTCATGAGAGGGTATGGGGGAATCTGTGGGTGGGTGCAGGAGATGTGTGGGAGGGTGTGTTGGCATCTGTGGGATGTGCGTGGGGTCCCCAGGTGGGGATCTGAGGTTGGGTATGTGAGAGGCTATGTGGGGTTGTAGAGGGTCCTGGGTGGGGTGCAGGGAGTCCATGGGCAGGAATGGGTGATCTGTATGGAGGGGCGCATGGCCGTGTCATGGCACGGGGTCCCTGGGGTGGGCTTGTGGGGGGTCATGGAGTCGCCCCCCGTCCCACGTGCATGCCCCACAGAAATGGCAGGCCCGCAGCGGTTCGTGGGCAGCAGCCGCGTGGTGTGGAGCGGGCTGGCACTGCCCCTCTCCCTGCCCTGGCCAGTCCGCATCATGTTCCGCACCCGCCACCCCAGCGGGGTTCTGCTGCGGGTGGGGACTGGAGGTCGCCTGACCCTCATCCTGCAGGTGGGCACGGGGCAGGCATGGGGAGGGCATGGGTGAGTCGAATAGGGGAGTTTTCCTGAGGAAGGTGTATGGCAGGAGAGGTGGTTGCCATGGGGATGTTATTGATTTGGGTAGGAGTCATTGCCAGAGGAGGTATTGGTCTTGTTATCATTGGCATAGGGGGTATAGCTTTGGGGGGAGGTCATTGCCCTGGGAGGGTATTGACTTGAGCAGGAGTATAGTGGGCTTGGCAGTGGGGCAGTGCCAGGGGTTATTGCTCTGAGGGTGGGGGTGTTATTGGCATTATTGGTGCTGGGAAGTTGTTGGCACAGGGTTTATTACCCTGGGGGGGTGATTGCCCTGGGGGAGTCATTGGAATAGGAGGTATTGCTGGGGGGTTATATATGGCCACAGGCAGGTAGTGGTGTGGGGGGTTGGAATAGGGAAGTTACCCTGTGCCAGGGCAGTATTGCCGGGGCAGGGGGGGGGGGTCTGTTGGCATCAGCAGTATTGCTATGGGGGGGTGTATTGCTGGTGGGGGGAAACGGTGCAAGGGGGTGATACCCTTGAGGGGGCATTACCTGAGGGGTTGTCTCATTGTCCCAGGGGAAACTATTTCCCGGTGGGCAGTGCCTGGTGCCCACCAGGTTTTTGGGGTCCTTGATGTGTCTACTCCTCACAGCTGAGCGAGGGGCAGGTGGAGGCTGGTGCCTGGCAAGGGGGGGCCCGTTTGGCCACACTGCGTCTGCCCCAGGCCAAAGTCAATGACGGTGCCTGGCACCACATGGAGCTGGAGCTACGGGGGGGCCCTGGCCGCAGCCCCTCTGCCACCCTCCTCCTACTCACCCTCGACTATGGCCGCTACCAGGTACGGGAAGACTGAGGCACAGGGTGCATCCACTGTGATGATCCCTGTGTGCCACCATGGCACCCCCTGTGGCACCCCAAGGTGCCCATGGGGGTCCCTGTGCCCCCCAGGTGGTGGGCGATGTCCCTGGAGAGCTGCAGGGGTTGCGGCTGCGCACGCTGAGCCTCGGGGGGCTGCTGGGGGACAGTGGCACTGTGGAGGAGGGGTTCCAGGGGTGCCTGCAGGTACGGAAGCGCGGGCCCAGAGGGTGTGGGGAGCATGGGGTGGCGGGCGTGGGGGAGGGGGGTGGGCTTGGGGATGTGGAAGTGGGGATAAGGACATGGTCACAATGGGAGGGCAGCACAGGGACATGGACACAGGGACATAGCATATGGGCTTGGGGAAATGGGCACAGGGATGTGGGCACAGATGTTGGGGATGTGGCACAGGGTGAGGACAGGGCACAATGAAACAGGGCCTTGCCTTGGGGATGGGGACATGAGCACGAGGAAGAGAGGGACAGGGACATGGGTACAGTGCTTGGGGACCTGGCAAAGGGCTTGCGGACATCGGTATGATGAAGGGGTGCACAGGGACACTGGGACATGTACACAGGGGTTGGGCACATGGGCACAGTGGGAGGGAGCACAGGAACATGGGCACAGGGCTTGGGGACATGAGGTTTGGGAATGTGTCACAGAGAAGTGGTGGCATGGGCGGGATGGTGGGGGGCACAGGGATGTGCACAAGGACAAGGGGATGTGGGCAGAATGGGTGGGAGGCACAGGGATGTGTCACAGGGTTTGGGGATGTGAACTGGGGCATAGCACAGGACACGGAGACATGGGCAGGATGGAGAAGAGCACAGGGATGTGGGTACAGGGAGGTGACACAGGACAAGGAGGCTGTGTGGGCAGGGGGACATTTGGCATAGTGACACAGGGCGCAGGGTCATCACCCCAGGGCCTGGGCAGGGTGGGGACATGGCTGTGGGGACATGGGTGTGACTGCAGAGGTCATGGGTCATACAGGGGGTATTAACTGGTGTTAGGGCCACTGAAGCACCCAAAGGTGACATGACTGGAGAGGGGGGCTGGCATGACATAGTGGGTCCTGGTGTGGGGTTTGGGGTGTCATGTGTTGTGAGGACAGACTGAACAGGGTGACACAAAAGGGTGACACAAAAAGTTGTGGGTGATAGTGAGGGACATTGAGACTGGGCACAGCATGGGGGCAGGAGGGGTCATGGTGGCTGGGGCATCACTGGGGGTCAATGTCAAGTGACCCCGCACAGGGAAATTGAGTTGGGGTGAGAGGGTGTCCCAGATCAGTGAGGGGTCACTGCAGGTGACACAGGGGTGTCACCAGGTGGTGCTGAGCTTGGTACTGAGGTACAATGACAGGTGACACGATGCAGGAGGTTCAGGGTGGCACAGTGGGTTCGGTGTCATGGCGGGGGAAACTGAGGAGGAGGTGACACTGCAGGGTGGTCCAGGTTGTCCTGGGGTGTCCTCTGTTGTGGCAGGGGACACTGAGGTAGGAATGACAGTGGGGCAGGGGATTTTAGGATGACATGGTGGGTCCTGTGTGTGGTGAGATCACACTGATGGTGACACTGTGTAGGGAGTTCTCGTGGGGTCTCTGGGGAATGGTGGAGAGAACTGAGGCATGGAGTGTGTTGGGGGGGTCCAGGGTGGCTTGCGGGGGTCTTAATGAGGACATTGATGAGTGACCCTGCAGGGCCTGCGTGTTGGGGACCCTGTGGTGACTGCGGGTGCCCTGAGCCTGGCACAGGCGGTGCAGGTGAATGTGGAGGGGGGATGTGCTCTGCCCGATCCCTGCGACTCGGGGCCCTGCCCCCCCCACAGCTACTGCAGTGATGATTGGGACAGTTTCTCATGCCGCTGCCACCCTGGTGAGCAGAGATCCCCCAGACTCCTGAAACCCCTTGGACACACCCCAGACATCTCCCAATAGCCCTGGAACTGACACCCCTGTGACAACTCCCTCTGCCACCCCAGTGAACGGGGACACCCTGAGACCTCTGAGCCCCACCAGCAGCTCCCCAACACTCCCTGACACCCTCCCAACACCTGGTGCCATCCTGACATCCCAGGGTGCTGACACCCCTGTGAAACACCTGTGACACCTCTCATTTCTACGCCTTTGAATGGAGACTGCCTGACAACCCCTGACATCCCTTGACACCCTGTGGGACACTGACACAACTGAGACACCTCTGTGACAGCCCCTACTGCTACCCTGGTGAGCAGAGACCCCCTGGAACTCCCAACAAGTCCCAACACCTCCTGAGACACTGCCACTCCTGTGACATCCCCACTGCTACCCCCACGAGTGGAAATCCCCTGGCACCTTCTGACAACCCTGAGACACTGCCATTCCCAGCACTGCCACCCTGTGACATATTGCCCCAACAACACTACCCTTTCTGGGCACCACCACTCTACCCCTGTCCCCAAAGCACTGCCACCCTCCCTTGTCACGGCCACTCCTTATCACTGTCACCCCTGGGCACTGCCCCTCACCCCCATCCCTGTTCCCCTGTCACTGTCCCCTGTTCTTGTCTCCAACCCTGTCCTGTGCCCAGGGTACTTCGGTGACAGCTGTGTCAGTGCCTGTGCCCTGGACCCCTGCGAGCCTCCAGGCACCTGTACCCACCGTCCAGGCACAGCCCCCGGCTATACCTGTCACTGTCCCCCAGGCACCTTCGGGGCCCTCTGCCAGCACCGGTTGGTGACACTGTGGGGCACACGTGTGTGCTGGGGGGCACGGAGCTCCTGGGGGCAGGGGGGCACTGTGAGGGACACTGGGGGCAGGAGGTGAGGTGAGAGGAGGGTGGGCATATGGGGCAGGATGGGTGTGCAAGGGGCATAGTGCACGTGCAAGAGCTGTGGTGGGTGTGCAAATGGCAGGGGAGTGTGGAAAGGGCACAATGGCTGTGCAAGAGCTGTGGTGAGTATGCAGGGGTCACTGTGGATGAAAAGTGGTACTGTGGCTGTATAAGTGGCACAGTAGGTGTGCAAGGGGCACTGTGGGGGTACAGGTGGCACTGTGAGGGTACAAGTGGCCATGTGAGTTTACAAGTGGCATTGTGGGGGTACTCTGGCATGGTGCCTGTGTGCCAGCTCCATTGTCCCCAGGGAGGCGCAGCCATGCCCACGGGGGTGGTGGGGACACCCGACGTGCGGCCCCTGCAGCTGCGACGTCACCCATGGCTTTGACCCAGACTGCAACAAGACCACGGGCGAGTGTCGCTGCAAGGTGGGACCAGCCTTGTCACCTCCCCTGCCAACCCCTGCCATCCTCCTGTCACCCCTCTGTTTCTCCCTGCCACCCCACTGGCACCCTGTCACCTCCCTGACACGCCCCATCACGCCCTCAACAATCCCCCAGTCACCTCCCTGTCACCCTCTGTCAGCCCCCTGTCACCCCATCCCCGTGCCTGCAGTGACCCTCTGTCCCCCCAGGACAACCACTACCGCCCACCAGGAGGGGACACGTGCTACCCCTGTGAGTGTTACCCCACTGGGTCACTGTCACGGCGATGCGATGCCAACACTGGACAGTGCCCCTGCAAAGCTGGTGTCATTGGCCATCATTGTGACCGCTGTGACAACCCCTTCGCTGAGGTGACAGCCAGCGGCTGCGAAGGTGGGGGACTGTCAACTTGTGTCACCCTGTGCCACCCTGAGTGCCCACCATCACCCTGATGTCATCCTCCATTACTCTCTGTCACCCTTGTGTCACCCTGTGTCACCCTGAGTGTCAGTGACCAGGTACTACTGTCACTTTGCTGTCACCCTGCTGACCCCATTGTCACATCATGTCACCTTGTTTCACCCCACTGTTACTCTGTGTTACTCTGGTGTCACCCTGCTGTCATCCTGTGTCACACTGCACCACCCTGTGCCATCCTGATGTTCCCCTGCTCTGCCACAGCTGTCATCCTGGGTGCCAGTGAGTGCCATTGTCACCCTGTATCACCCTGTGTCACCCTACTCTGCCCTGTTGCAACCCTGTGTCACCCTGTGTCACTCCAAATGCCAGTGACTGGGTGCTACTGTCATCCTGCTGTCACCCTGTGCTACCCTGCATCACTGTCTTGTCACTTTGTGTCACCTACTGTCACCTTGCTGTCACCCTGGCTGCTGGCAACTGAGTTACACCAACACCTTGGTTGTTGGTGTAATCCTGTTGGCAACTTGTGTTGCCCCATTGTCACCCTGTGTCACACTGCTGTCACATTGCTATCACCATGTGCCACTATGTCACCCTACTTTTACCCTGTATTATCTTTTAGTCATCCTGCTCTGCCACTGCTGTCACAATGCTGTTAGCCTGTGTCACCCTGTGTCACCCTGTGTCACCCTGTGTCACCCTGGGTTCCAGTGACCAGGTGCCATTGCCACCCTACTGTCACCCTGCATCCCCCATTTTGATGCCGTGTTGTGTCTTGCAGTGAACTACGACAGCTGTCCCCGAGCCATCGAGGCCAGCATCTGGTGGCCCCGCACTCGGTTTGGGCTGCCAGCTGCAGCCCCGTGCCCCAAGGGCTCTGTTGGTACGTGGGGACATGGGGACAGGACAGGGGTGGCACTGGGCACACTGCCAGAATGGAGCTGGGGGTGACACAGTGGTGACATCACTGGGATGGGGCTTAGAAGGGTTGCCACCACCTTGGCATCGCTTGGGTGGTACAGGGAGGTGACACCGTGATTGCACTGCTGAGACACGGTGGGGAGAGAGGACACCATGGTGTCACTTCAGGGTGGTGATATGGTGGTGGCACTGCTAGGATGGGATGATACCATCCCATGTTGACACACACCAGGGGGACAAGTCTGGGGTGTATCATGGTGGTGGCACCAGTTGGATGGAGCTGGGGTGGGGTGGCACCATGGGGCATCGCTGGGACAGGGCAGGGAGGTGATACTGTAGTGGCATTATTGGGTTGGTACAGGGAGGTGACACTGGGGTAGCGCTGCCAGGATGGGTTAGGGGTGGTGATGCCTTGGTGGTACCACCAAGATGGAGTGGGGATGACATGAGTGTGGACTTGTTGAGATGAGGCTGGAACTGCCACTGTGGTGTCACTGAGTGTGACACTGGTGGCATCAGGACTGGTGGCTGTCATGGTGGTGTCACTGGGGGCAGCACAGGAGTGTGACACTGTGATGGCACAGCTAGGACAGGGCATGGCACCACTGGGACAAGGCTGGGGGCACCTGGTGTCACTGCAGGGTGGAAGGGTGGAGCAGGAGTGTGACACTGGCAGCACTGCTGACATGCTGTGAGGTGAGGTTGCCCCATTGTCCCCATGGTGCACTCAGTTTCCCTGTCCCACAGGCACGGCACTGCGCCACTGTGACGAGCACAAGGGCTGGCTGCCCCCCAACCTCTTCAACTGCAGTGCGCTGGCTTTTGCTGCCCTTCGCCCCTGGGTGAGCCAGGGGAACACCAGCAGCAGCCGTGCAACAGTGCCACCGGGGCTGCCTTGATTGTGTGTGTGTCTCCTCCAAGGCGGAGCAGCTGCTGGCCAACGAGTCACAGTGGGACGCAGGGCAGTCCCGGCGCGTGGCGCTGGCACTGCGTGAAGCGATGCGGGAGGCCCAGGGGTACTTCGGCAGTGACGTGCACCTGGCATACCACCTGGCAGGGGCCCTGCTGCGCCATGAGAGCCGCCAGCACGGCTTCCGCCTTGCTGCCACCCAGGACGTGCACTTCACTGAGGTGGGCGTGAGATCACAGGGATGGGGACATGCCCAGAAGGAGAATGGGCAAAGCGGGAAAGATGATGAGCACTCCCATGGTGGGGGATGTGGGTGCATGAGCCCAGACACCAGGGTAATGGGCACCCTTTTCGGGAGGGATATTGAGGCAGGAGAGCAGATAACCAGGTGACAGGCACTGGGGAGGAAGATTGAGGGAGAAGGAAAAGAGACTGGAGTTACGGCGACCCTTTTGGGGAGGGTCATATTTAGGCAGAAGGTCAAACACTGGGGTGATGGGCATCTGCATGGGGAGGGGGGAGGTATTGGTGCAGGAACCTGGCTGCCAGGATGGATGGCACCCACCTGGGAAGGGTATTGATGAGGGAGCCCATGCACCAGAGTGATGGGCACACACCTAGAGAGGAGTGTTGGTGTAGGAAGTTTGATGCCAGGGCGGTGGGCACCCTGAGCAGCGGGTGTTGGTGTGGCTCAGGGTGCACCCTCAACTTTGTCAGGGTACACAAAGTTCCCCACTGCTAGTGGCAGTGGTTCCCCACTGCCAGTGCTAGGGTGCCCCAGCCATAGAGTCCTGCAGGGGAGGTTAGGGACTCCCTGCCCAGACCCTAAAGTGCCAGTTTCCAGTGCCACTACCTCTGCCTTTCCCCCAGAACCTGCTGCGGGTGGGCAGTGCGCTGCTGGACATGGGGAACAAGCGTCACTGGGAGCTGATCCAGCAGACGGAAGGTGGCACGGCCCAGCTGCTGCAGCACTTTGAGGATTATGCACAAGCCCTGGCACGGAATATGCCCCAGACTTACCTCAGCCCCTTCACCATTGTCACCCCTAACATTGGTCAGTGGGGACATGTGTGGCCGGAGGGCTGTGATGGGGGGTTTGTGCCTGGGAACATAGGCATGCTGGGAACATGTGTGTGCCTGGGGACACACATATGCCCTTGGTGTGGTGCTGGGCACATGGGCATGGATATGCCTGGGGGATGTAGGTGCTGGGGACAGGGATATGTGTGTGCCTGGGGACATGCGTGTGCACAGGGAATGTGTGTGTGTTGGGAACATGGACGCATGTCTGGGAACATAGACATGTATATACTTGGAGTATGTGTGCACAAGGACATGTGTGTGCACAAGAACATGTGAGCTGGGGACATGTGCATAAGGACACTTGGTGCTGGGAGCATGCATGCATGTCTGATGGGTACCTGGGAACATGTACTGGGGACATGGACATTTGTGTGGCTGGGAAACATGTCCTGGGGAACATGGGGGTGCCTAGAGGCATGTGTGTGTCCCCGGAGACATGAACTGTGGTCTCTGTGCCCTGGGGTCAGTGGGTGCTGGGTACAAAGGATGCTGTGTTCTGTGTGTCCTGGAGTTGGTGGGTGCTGGGATCAGTGAGTGCTGGGGTCCGTGTGCCCGAGGTTTGGTGGCTGCTAGTGTCTGTAGGTGTATGGATTCATTGCTCCGGGGTTGTTGGATGTAAGGGTCAGTGGGTGCTGGGCTCAGTGGGTGCTGCAGTCTATGTCCCACAGGGTTGGTGGGTGGTGGGATCTATGGTCCTGGGATCTGTGTGCCCCAGGATCCATGGCTCTGGGGTTCATGGGTGCTGGGGTTGGTGAGTGTTTGGGTTGGTGTCCCCCAGGGTTGGTGGATGCTGGAGTTGGTTTGTGCCGGGCTTGGTGTGCCCTGGGATTAGTGAATGCAGAGGCTGGTGTGCCCTAGGGTCAGTGGGTGCCAGGATTGTTGGGTGCTGGTGTTGGTGTGCACTGGGTTTCATGTGCCCGGGGATCAGTGAATGCTGGGGTCGGTATGCCCTGGGGTTGGTGGGTGCTGGGGTCTGTGTGCCTCAGGGTTGGTGGGCGCCATGCCATGCTGTGGGTGATGTGGTGCCACAGTGGTGTCAGTGGTGCGGCTGGACAAGAGCAGCTTTGCGGGTGCCCACCTGCCATGGTATGAGGCACTGCGGGGGGAGAAACTTCCAGATCTGGAGACAACCGTCATCCTGCCTGACAGCATCTTCTGGCCCCCTGAGGACAGGCGTGAGTCTGGGGCATAGTGGGGACAGGGGGCAGGGTTGGGGACTCACTTGCATCCACGGGGCTGGCAGAGCTTGGGGGACCCCCCCATTTGGCCATGGGGACATGACACAGCTGGGGACCCTGGCTGGGGGCTGGTGAATCCCAGAATGCCCATGGGCTGACAGGGTTGGGAATCCCAGTACCACCATCAGGACCCCAGGGTGGCCATGGGGATGGCAGGTTTGGGACCCCAGGATGGTACTGGCATGGCTGGAGACCCTGGTAAGGATGCAAAGACCAGGGAGCCCAGGATGGCATCAGAGATCCCGGTGTGGCCATGGTGGAGGGTAGGGTTAGGAACACAAGTGTGACCATGGGGATCTCACTGTGGTCATGGAGCTGACAAGGTTGGGGACCCCTCGACATGGGGACCGCTGGAGCTGGAAGCGTTGGGGGAACCTTGTTGTGATCATGGGGCTGGCAGAGTTGGGGACTCCAGGGTGGCCATGGGGACCCCAGTAACGTCTCAGATCATCATGCTGCCCCCTGCCCATGGCCCCCAGGCCTCTCAGCTGGGCATGGGCAGGCACCACAGGGCACAGGTGGACAGGAGGAGGAGGAGGAGGATGAAGCAGGAGAAGAGGAGAAAGTGGAGGAGGAGGAGGCAGGGATGACTATGGTGACCCGGCACAAGCGCCACCCACCCCTGAGTGAGGGCCAGGCCATCGCCAGCGTCATCATCTACCGTACCCTGGCCGGTCTCCTGCCCCAGCACTTCGACACCGACAAGCGCAGCCTCCGGTGCCACTGGGGATGGTGGCTTGGAGGGGCTGGGGGTGGCACATGGGGTGTCAGGGCAAAGCCAAGCATCTGGGGGATATAGGGAGATGGGGCCAGGGGTATCTGGAGGGTTCCCAGGGGAGGGATGGGACAGGGGACACATGGAGTGCCCAAGGCTGGGAGGCACAGAGAGTGCCTGAGGGTGGGGGGCAGAGGGCTGGGGAGGTGGCTCAAGGGATGCCCAAGGATGGTGCCCATGGGGTGCCCAAAAAAGGGGGCACAGGGGAGAAAGAGTTGCCCTCACAGTGTGTGTGGTGCCAGGGCACTCTGTGGCACCAAGGTGGGTTTTGGGGCACACTGAGTGGGCTCTCTGATGCCCCCCAGGGTGCCCAAGCGCCCCGTCATCAACACACCAGTGGTGAGCATCAGCGTGCACATGGGGGGCACGGATGGCGTGGGGGACATTTGGACCCCCCGGGTGCTGGCCAAGCCCGTTACCCTCCAGTTCCGGCTGTTGGAGACCCAGGAGCGCTCCAAGCCTATCTGCGTCTTCTGGAATCACTCTCTGCGGTGAGGGCAGGACAGGGGACACGCCAGGGGTGACAGGAACACCCTGGGGGCACAGGGACATCCCAGCAGACAGGGACCTGGGACTGGGGATGGGAACACCTTGGGGAAGATGGGTACACTCCAGAGGGACAAGGGATCTCCCCAGGGAGACAGGAGACCTGGGGATAAGGACAGCCAGGGAAACAGGGGATATCCCAGGGAACACCCTGGGGGGATGGGGACATCTTGAGGAGTCAGGGACAACATGGGGCAACACAGACATGCTGAGTTCATAGGGGACATGGCACACACCAGGGGAACAAGAAACACCGTGGGGGGAGAGGGCCATGGAAATGGGGACACCCCAGGGGGATGGGGACACCTCGGAGGGGACAAGGAGCATGGGGATGGGGACATCCCATGGAGACAGGGGACATAGTAACAGAGATAGGGACACTTTGAGGCGACAGGGGACGTGGGAATAGGGACACCTTAAGGTGACAGGGAATATGGGACAGGGCAGATGGATGCCCCAGTAACCCTGCAGTCATGGGCGAGTAACATGGGAACAGGACGTGAGGGGGCAGCTCCAACCCTGGTGGGTGTCAGGATGAGGGTGTGTCCCCAAATGGAGAGGTGGTCCCTCCTGACTGTCCCTGGTGAGTGAGTGTCCCCAAGTGGCAGCTGTTGTCTCTGCTGGGTGGATGGATGTCGCAGTGGGTGGGTGTATGTCGTCTGTGGATGTACCTGGTGGGTGTGAGTCCCTGTGGGAGGGTGAGCCAGCGGATGTCCTCAGCGCGTGTGTCCCTGGTGGATTTAAAGGGGTGGAGCTACACAATTTGGGTGGGGTTTTGAGGGGCATGTGTGACCCCCTTGGATGGGTGTCCTGGATGCCTGTCCCTGGGTGGGGGTGGATGTTGCTGGTGGGTGTCCCTGGTGTGGGTGTGTGGGTGGGTGTGTTTGTCCCCGGTGGGTATCCATCCTGGTGGGTTCCGCGGCTTGTGTCACCTTCTGGTGCTGCGCAGGGCGGGCAGTGTAGGCGGCTGGTCGGCACGAGGCTGCCAAGTCGCTTTCCGCAACCAGAGCCACGTCAGCTGCCAGTGCCACCATCTGACCAGCTTTGCCGTCCTCATGGATATCTCCCGCCGAGAGGTGGGGGCATAGGGGGACACGGAGTGGTGCATGGGAACACAGGGTGACAGATGTGACACAGGGGACGTGGAGGGACACAGTGACCCTGGGGGCATGGGATGACTCAGGGTGAGGGCCCTGGTGGGGACATCGGGGTGGATGCAGACACATGCAGAAATTGGCACAGGGTATCAGGTGGCGCCAGGCACAGGGGTGGGGCTTTAGGGACAGGGGCGGGGATTTTGATAAAAGAGGAGGGACAGGGATAGGAGGGGCAGGGTCAGGGTGGAGGTGTGAGTGCTCTGGAGACGGAACTGAGAGAAGTGGATGGGGTTTAAGTGGGATGGTGCTTAATCCAAGGGGTATGGCTAAATCCAACGGGTGGGGCTCCCTTGAGGCAGAGCTAAGTGGGATGGGATGGGCCGGGCTATGTCAGATTTGGCAGAACACCCCCAGGTGCGGGGTGAGTGGGACTCCAGTGGGTGCAGCTGAGCAGGCTGGGCCGGTCTCCAAGGGGCAGAGCTGATGTGGGTGGCGTTACAAGAGGTATAGCTGAGTGATGCAGGCGTGTTCGCAGGGGCTGTGGCCGAGTAATGTGGGCAGGGTTGAAAACTGTGGGTGGGGCATAAAGAGGTGTGATCAGTGTTGTGGGTGTGCCTTCAGGGAGCAGGGTCGAGTGCAGTAGGTGGGGTTGCAAGGGGCAGGGCTGAGGGATGTGGGTGGGGTTTTGAGGGCTGGGGCTTAGTGGTATGGGAGAGGTTTAAAATGTGGGTAGGGTTTTGAGGGGCATGGTTGAAGTGCTGTGACTAGGGGTTTTAAAGGGTGGGGTTAACAGGGGCGGGGCTGAGTAATGTAGGCAGGGCTTCCTATTGAGCTGTGCATTGTGGGCAGGACTTCACAGGTCCAGAGACTGATTGCTTTGTTAGAGGGAGCACGTCTCTGTTGACGGGGATGTCTGGGGGTGCATGCCCACTGAGCACATGCCTGATATATGCCGATCCTGGTGCTGCAGAACGGGGAGGTGCTGCCGCTGGCAGCACTCACCTACGGCTCACTGGGCGTGGGGCTGGCGGGGCTGGCGCTGGTGGTCCTGGCCCTGGGGACTGTGAGGCGGCTACACTCCAACCGCCACAGCATCCGCCGGCATGGCACAGCTGCACTCCTCCTTGCACAGCTTGTCTTCCTGCTTGGCATCAACCAGGCCGATGTCCCGGTGTGTGGGGAAAGGGGGCTGGGAAAGGCGGGAAGGAGTGAGGACCACCGGGAAGGGCTGATTGGGTCAGGGGATCTGCTGCCTTTGAAGTGTTTGGGTTGGTGGGGCTAAGATGGGCATGGCCATGGTGGGCTGGGCCTAAGGGCTGGCATCTAAAAGACCCCGTCTGTAATGGGTGGGCTCTGCCAAAGGGCTGGAATCTCTATAAAGAGGTGGGACTTGCAAAGCAGTGGGTCTGATGAACGGGGTGAGGCTCCCTAAGAAGTAAATCTTATCAAAAGGGGTTGGCTCTCAAGGGGGTGGGGCCCATCAGAGAGGTGGAGCACTCAAGGGATGAGGCCTATAAAAGGAATGGGACCTTGTAGAGGAGTGTAACCTCAACAGGGGAATGATGTCTCAAAGGGGAGCTTGGGGGTTTGTGCATATGGTTGGATGGGTGGGGCTGTGGGCTGGCACTGACGGGGCGGGTGTAGCTGGCGTGCACGGTGGTGGCCATCCTGCTGCAGTTCTTGTACCTGAGTGCGGTAGGCTGGGCGCTGCTGGAGGCGCTGCACCTGTACCGGCGCCGTAGTGAACCCCGTCATGTCGACCATGGTCCCATGCGCTTCTACCATGTACTGGGCTGGGGACTGCCTGCCTTCATCACCGGTGAGCCTTGCTGTGAAACCCTGCTCTCATTCTGACCCCATGCTCTGGACCACTAGCTGCCCACCTCCAGCTGGGTCAACACCTTCAGGTGGCTACACACCTCCTTCTAGGCTATGGCCCTGCTGCCTGAATCACTCCCCTGCAATCAGTTTGATGCATGGTGGGGTCCTATCTCCATGTGTAACCCTAACCCCAGAATATAGGCCCACCTTCAAATGGATCTTTACCAGCATAGCCAAACCCCTGGATATAACCCTGCCTCCAGGAGGATAGTCATGTCCAATCCAAAACAGCCTCACTCTAAGAGTTTAGCTCCACCCTGATAAATATACAGAGTCATAGCTGTGCCCTCATCTATCAGACCCAGTCCCCAGGATTTTAGATAGGCCCCTGGGTTCACAATACTACCTTCATTCATCATAGCTCTGCCCCCAAATTTTCAGACACACCCCCAGGGTCATAGCCGCCTCCCAAAGAATATGACCTTGGTGAAAATTGTATCACCACCACAGGAGTTTAGCCTCATCCATCATATCTCCACCCCAAGAGCATCTTTCCCAACCTCTTCAATATGCTCCCAGGGCCATTACCCTTCTTCATCAGTCATAGTCAGATACTCCCCTGGGATCTTAGTCCCGCCCTCACCCCAAGAGAATAGACCTGTACTAACCTCTTAGACAAACCTCTTGTGCCATACCTCTGCTCTCGTCAACATTGCCACATGCCCAGGAGCTTAGACAACCCTCATTTGCATGGCGCTGTCTGTGCCCAGTGCAGCCGCACCTCCTCGCCAGCCCTGCGCCCCGTCCCGCCATCGCCTCACACCTAAAAGGTGTGGGACACCTAAAAGGTTTAGCCCCGTCCCTCCCCTTAGCCCCACCCCGATCTCTCCTTCCAGGGCTGGCGGTGGGGCTGGACCCTGAGGGCTTCGGCAACCGCGACTTCTGCTGGCTGGCCCTGCACGACAGCCTGGTGTGGAGCCTGGCTGGGCCCTGCGCTGCTGCCCTTGCTGTGCGTACAGGGCTGCGGGCTGGGGGCTGGGGAGGGCATGGGATCCCCCATCAGCCTGCTCACTCCCTGCACCCCCAGGTCGGCATTTTCTTCCTGGTATTGGCAGCCAGGGCCACCTGTGCCACCCCCCAGGGCTTCCAGAAAAAGGGCTCAGCGTGAGTCACCCAGGCGGGGTCACCCGCGGGGGGCAGGGGCCATGGTGGGGATGGGGTTGCCCACAGGGGCATGGGAGGCTGGGGCACTCATAATGGGCTGTCAGGGGGTTGGAGCACCCATAGAGGCTCGGTGGCATGCATGGGGGGCTGGCCTTTGGGGAGCCTGCAGAGGGCAGGGAGGCACAGGATGGACTGGGGCATCCAGGGGGGGGCAGGAGGGCACTGGGGACTGGGCTGCCTATGAGGGGTAGGAGGGGACAGGGGGGCTGGGGCATCTATAGGGGCAGCTGTGGGTAGGCAAAGGTGCATGGGGAGCAGGGGGCTACAGGGGGGCATGGGAGGTTGGGGCAACTGTAGAGGATATGGGGGCACAGGAGGGACCAGGACACCAATAGTAGGGGGATATAGAGGTCTGGGGCATCATAGAGGCCCCCATGGGGGACTGAGGGGGTCAGGGGAGATTGAGGCATCTAGGGAGGCACAGACAACCCATTGGGAGGCAGAATGGCACTGGGGACAAGGGACACAGCGGGTTGGGGTTAGACTGGGCTAAGAGGAAATAGGGGAGCTCAGGGGGCTGGAGCACCCATGGATGGCAGAGTGGGTCAGGTGGGGGTTGGGGCATCTGGGGTGGGGGGGAGGGTGCCATGAGGGGCTGGGGGAACCCTGAGGGGCAGAAGTACAGAAGTCTGTGTCATGAGATGTCATTGTGGTGACACTGGGATGCCATTGGGTTGCCCAGGTCTGCGGTGCGCACAGCTGCAGTCCTGTTGGCCATGCCCAGCCTGGCCTGGCTTCTGGCCCTTCTCTCAGTCAACAGTGACACGTTGCTCTGTCACTATCTGTTTGCCGCCTCCAACTGCCTCCAGGTCAGTGAGGAGCACCTGAGACTCCACCTGTGGGACCTCCAGAGCCACTGCCCCTGGGACCCCCAAAGACTCCAGAACCCCAAATGCTCTGCCCCTGCGATCCCCAGTGACCACCACCCCTAGGACTCCCAGAGCTCCCTGAATCTCACACCCTTGGGACCTCTAGTCGCATGCCTATTTGTAGGGCAGCCAGTGGGCACAGAGAGTTCCTTTGCCATATCCAGGGCACTAATGGGAGGTATCTAGTGTGGGCACCTCAACCACTTCATGGTGCCCATGGAGGGCACCCAGTGCGTGTATGGGGGTCCCTCATCCTGTTTGAGATATCAGTGGGGGACACATATTGGGTGTGGGGGGACGCTCATTCTCTTTGAGGTGCCAATGGGATGCACCCAATATGGATGGTGAGCCCTTGACCAGTCCAGGGTGCTGCTGGGATCCTCCCAGGCTGTACCCACCCTTCCTTGTCCCCCCTGCCCCCTCTCTACCCAGGGGCCCCTTATCTTCCTGTCCTGTGTGGTGCTGAGCAAGGAGGTGCGAAGGAGCCTCTGCATGAGCTGTGCCTGCTGCCACCACGCACCGCTGGCCACCAAGGCCACCCTCACCCCTGTGAGTGCCGGGCTACGTGGGGGGTGCCAGGAAGCAAAGGACAGTCTGTGCCATGGCTATGACATCCTTGTGCACTTCGCAGGCCTATGGCAGGGACAGCACATATGTGTCAGGGCGACTGTACTCCCCTCCAGGTGGTGGGTCCTCGGGGTCTCTGCACAGCACTGCACGCTCGGGCAAGAGCCACCACAGCTACATCCCCTTTGTGCGGCGGTACTGGGCACAGCAGGGGCCAGGGCATGGGTTTTTGTGGGGTCTTGGGCTGGTGTGGCACTGGGATGACAAGATGGTATGGTGATGGGATGGTGGGGTAGCAGGGTGCTGGGGTGGTTGAGTGGTGGGTTGGTGGGGTGGCAGTATGGCATTGCATGGTTGTGGGGGTGCTGGGATGGCTGGGTAGTGGGGCAGTGGTATGGGTGCACAGCAGTACAGTGGCAGAGTGGCATGCACATAGAGTGGTGAGGTGGCAGGATGGGGGGTTGAGGGGGGTGTCAGGGTGAAGAGGTGTCAGGGTGCTGGATATCAGGGTGGTGGGTATCAGTGGGTGGATATTGTGTCAGTGGGTTGGTGTCAGTGGGCGACAGTGGATGATAGGTGTTCGTGAGTAGGGATGAGATGCTGATGAGTATTGTGTCTCCACAGGGAAGATTCAGGGCTGGCAGGCAGCCCAGGGCCGGTGCCGCTGCCCGAGCCTGGGGAGTTCTTCCTTGACATCCAGGACCAGCCCAAGGGTACGGCCTCACCCATAGGGCAAGTGTACCCAGCCTCAGCCCAGGGGACAGGCGGTGTCTCTGGGCACCCCCTGACCCTTGACTCCCCAGAGCATGACACAGACTCGGACAGTGACTTGTCCCTGGACGACCCGAGCGGATCGTACGGCTCCACACATTCCTCCGACAGCGAGGACGAGGCCCTCCATGGCTGGGACCTCCTGCCCGGGGCTCCCCCAGGTCCCCCCAGCCCTGGTAACACCCCCAGGGGGCACCACATGGAGATGGGGGACTTTCAACCTGGCTGGGTGCTGATGGGGGGCACCGAATGGGTTGGGGGAGGTGCTTTGTGCCTTGTCTTATCCAGGACACTGATGGGGGCACCTGCTGGGGATAGGGGTCCTTTGTCCAGTCTGGAGTGGGGATAGGCCATTGAATGGATTTGGTGGGGGTGTGAGAGGGCCCCTCATCTTGGCTGGGTCCTGATGTAGGGGACACACAGTGGACCAAGGATCCCTTGTCCAGCCTGGAGTTCTGATAGACACATAGTGGGTATGAGAGAGAGGGTCCCTTGTCCGGCCTGGTGTGGTGATGTGGGACACCTAAAAGGTTTGGGGGGTTCCTCATGTGTAAAGACGTTGAAGGCTCCATGGATGGTTTGGGTGGATACAGACGAGAGATCTCTGTTGGTTGCTCTTGGAGGATAAGGTTTATTCGGGATGGAGACAGGCCATGCCTCGAGCTGCTAGACACAGCACATGGCCGGGCCTGAGGTAATGTGGGAGGGGAGAGACAAAGGGGGGAGCAGGGACTCCAGGATGGGGAATCCAGGAGGAGGAAGTTCCAAGAGGGGAGGGGAAGATCCAAGAGGCCCCTCGGAGGCCCCTTATCAAGGGGGGCTTCAAGGTGGGCTGGAACAGGACTTGGGCCAATGGGGTCACAGGCACTTGATGTTTCAGGGGAGGGTTACAGGTGTGGGGTGAGCCATACATTCTGGGGGGTGAGATGGAACAGCCCATTTGGCTTTTAGACCCCTCTGTAGGTAAGGGTATTGTCCAGCCAGTCGGGGGCATGATATTCATCCTGGCTGTACTATTGTGGTTCTTCTGCTAGACAATCATATTTGTCTATCCTTCCCAACACTCATGCAGTCAGAGGTGCTGATCAGGGCACCCAGGGGGGAAAGATGGCCCCTTGTCCAGTGCAGGGTATGGATGGGACTGACACAACTGGTTTGGGTGCATCCCTCACACTGACTATGTGCTGATGGGGGCACCCAGTGAGGATGGGAGGGGTCCCTGGTCCTCCCTGTCCCAGCTTTCTTCCTTCCTCACAGGTGACCCCCTGGTGCCCCCAGGGTGCCCATACTGGCCAGGGGAGTTTGTGACGACAGCTAGTGAGAGCGAGGGACCAGGAGGTAGCGAGGGGCTTCGAGTGCAGCCAGCAGGGGGCCAGGGACACCCCTGGGGCCACCCCCCCAGGCCCAATGGCGAGGCACTCCCCAGGGACCCCCTGCTGCTGCCGCTGCCCCATCCCCACAAAGGTATGGGCTGCCATGGCAGGGGTAGGCACTCCAGATCTGGCCTCCCCACCCATGGGTGATGCTGTTCCTGCAGGGATACTGAAGAAGTGCCTGCCCCCCATCAGTGAGCGGGGCAGTGCCCTGCACCCTGGGCCCCCCCCACCACCTCCTGCTTGCACAGCTGCCTCCTTGGGCAGTGATGCGGGGGCCCTCCCAGTCCCCCGGCCTCGGCAGAGCCTCCAGGAGCAGCTCAGCGGCCTCACCCCCATCGCCATGAGCATCCGTACAGGCACTGCTGACGAGGACTCCTCTGGCTCTGAGTGAGTGCCCACCACATCTGAGGGGTGCTCACTGGGAGTTCTTTGAGTGCCAGGGTTCCCTCTGGGCAGCTGTTGGGTTTGAGGGTGTCCTTGGGGTGCCAGGGTTCCTGTTGGGTGGACAAGCAGTCAAACACTTGTTGGGTACCCTTTGGGTGCCTATCAGACGCAAAGATGGCTGGGTACCAGGGTGCCAAGGCTCCTGTTGCACTCTCATTTGGTGCCAGGGTTTCTCTCAGATGCCCATTGGGTCCAACACTGCTCGTTGGCTGCCCATCACGTGCCACAGTACTGACTGGACACCCATTGGGTACATTTCCTGTCAGGTATCCATCAGGTTCCAGGGTTCTCTTTGGGTGTCCACTGGGTGTCAGGGTGCCCAACAGGTGCCCTATGGATGCCCATCAGGTGCCAAGTTTCCTTCTTGGGTGCTCATCAGGTCCCAGCAGTCCCTTTGGATCCAATGAATATTGGGTGCCAGGGTGCCCATTTGGTGCCCACCATGTGTTAAGGGTGTTGGTTGGGTGTCCATAGGGTGCAAAGGCGGCTGTTGGGTGCCCACTAGATTCCCATTGAGTGCCCATTGCATGTTGGGGTACCCAATGAATACCAACTGGATGCCAGTTGACTGTCTGTGGGGCCCATTGACCACTGGATGCCCATTGTGCATCCACTGACCATTATGTATCCATTATATCCATTATGTAGCCCACTGACTGTCCATTGGGTGCCTAATGACCTCTGCATGCATACTAGATGCTCCTTGAGTCTAAATAGCACCTGTTGGGTGTGTGTTAACTGTTCATGAGTGCACCACAAAGGTGCCTGTTGACCACTGGGTGCCCACTGGGTGTTGGGGTGCCCATTGGAGCATTCATTGAGTGGGGTGCCCACTGGGTACTCCTGACCACCCGTGGATGCCCAGGGCAGAGGTGGCAAAGCAGCACTAACCCAACTCTTCTCTCCTCCTCTAACCCCCAGATTTCTGTTTTTTAATTTTCTCCATTAACCCAAGGGGGCTGGGGGCTCTCCCCCAACCCCCACCCCTCCATCTCACCCCAGGGGTTTGCACTGGGTGCTAGGGGGCACAGAGGGCACCCTGGCACCTACCTCCCCCATCACACATCTGTCTGTCTTGTTTTTTATTCCCCCTCCATCCCGCACTTTGTATCCATCCCCCCCTCCCCCCATCTGTCCGTCCCCACCACCAGGAGCGACGAGACCTCGATCTAATGGGGACTCACCCAGCGGCCAGCCCACCCACTGTGCCAGGGACACCAGGACAGGGAGGGCACCAGGATGGTTGGGGTGGGGCGGGGGATACACCAGGACTGGGAGGACGTCAGGAAGGAGTAGAAAGACACAACCTCCCCAGTGCACTTTGTATCCTTGCAGGGATTGGCAATCTGGGGAGGTGGCACAGGGTGCCCCTGTTGCCCCTCCATGATCACACCCAGCCTCTTTGCCCAGGAGTGTTTTATTTAAAAAATACATGAAAATACAAAAAAAGGAGTTTATAACCAACTTTGTCCATTGTTCCAACCCTCACGAAGGGGCAACCTGTCCCATGGTGCCAACTCCCCCAGGTGGGGGGCATGTGGAAGGGGGATCAGCTACGGGTTCCAGGGATGTCTGGGACCGCCCTGCTCAGGGGTGAGGCTCAGGTGGGGGAACCCAGGGATGGATGTTGAGGGGATGAGAGACCCCTAGGTGCTGGGAGACATGGGGAGTTTCCGACTGCAGATGAGACCTTTTGTAATTAAAGCAAAACCAATGAATGCCTCGGCTCATCCCTGGGGGAGGCCCCTGGCTCTGCCACCCCAACCTCAGCTGGTCCCTGGGGGTTCCAACTCTGCCTCGCCACCTGTCAACCCCACGGGTGCCTTAGCTGCTCCCTGGGGGCCCCTGGAGCTGCCTGCCTCCTTCCAAAACCCACTGGATGCCTCAGCTCATCCCTGGGGTGGCCTTGGCTCTGCCCACCCCAGCCTAGGTACCTTGGCTAGTACCTAGGGGGGGTCTGGGTACCCCCAGGGCCTCTGGATGGGTGTGGGGTGGTTTTGGGGTGTCACCTTGGGGTGCTGCTCACCGCCGTCTTGCGGGGGGGCCGCAGGCGGGCGGGGGGGGGTCCTGGTTTGCACCCTGAGGCACCAGTTGTGGGGGCTGCCCGTGCTGCACCTGCGCCTGCAAAGGAGAAAGAAGCCACAGGAAAGCTGAGGCACAGGGGAGGGGGCATCCCCTGTGCCCCCCCAACCCCACTACATCCTTACCTCTGGGGGTGGGGGTCCTCCCACCCGCTGCTGGAGTCCGAGGGGGCACCCTGGGAAGGACAGTGGATGCCGGGGAACAGCTGGAGGGGACAGGGGTGGTGGTGGTCCTGGTGTGGGGCTGGCGGGTGGTGGGGGGGCAGAGGACTGTGCCCCCCTTCGCCTTAGCCTGGCCTGGGAAGAGAGAGGGGGTTGGAGTATGGCCCAGGAACCCCCATGGCCATGGTGTCCCCATCCCCTTGCCATCACTACCTGCTGTCCCCCCCCGGGTGGGCTCGGACCTGCCCCGGGCAGCAGCCCCCTGCCCCTGAGGAGGGCATGGCCGGGGGGGGCCCATGCAGCTGGGGCGGAGCCCCCTGCCACCCGAGGGTCCCTTTGCAGCTGCTGTGGAATTACGGCTGAGGGGTACCTGAAAATAGAGCGGGGGACATGGGGACATCACTCAGTGAGTGCCCCCCCCACCCCTCAGGGCTGGGGGGGTTCACGATGCCCCTTGGAGATAGGGGGGCACTCACTGCCCCCATCTAGGATGGGTTTGAGGGCAGATCTGGGTGTTCAGCCCGAGTGGGACACAGCTACACTGGGACACCTACCCCTGAGTCTCACCTACCTTGGGGACACTGGTGGCAGCAGAGGCCCCCCGGAGCTTGGTGGGGAGGTGGGGGATGGGGGCAGGTCCCCGAGACTCCACGGTGGGCAGGAGCGCCCGCACCGGGCTGTCCTTCACCACGAAGGTCTGGCGGCGGGGGCTGCGGGGTGTGCTGGGGGGCGTGGCAGCAGGTCCTGGGGGGTCTCCGGGAGCGGGAGGGGGCAGGTGACACCCCTCCAACTGTGCTGCCAGGCGCGTGGCCTCCCGCACCATCTCTTCCAGACGGGCCCCACTCAGGGGACTCCAGCACCCGTTGCCACCCCCGTGCTGGCACTCCCCGCCTGGGCTATCCTCATCCTCCTCTTCCTCCTGGCTGAGGATGGGGAGGGGGGAGGGGCAATGGTGGTATTAGCACCCCACGCCACTGCCAAGAAATGGCAGGAACCCCCCACTGCCATCCAGGACCCCATTCATTGTGTGACACGTCCCCCCAGGACCCCCAGAACCACATCTATGAGTGGGACAGGTCCACAGGACCCCCAGGACTGTGTTCATGGGGTGACATGTCCCCTAGGACACCATCTTTGGGATGTGATATCCCTTGTGGCCCACAGGACTCCAGCTATGAGTTGCCACATCCCCCACAAGCCCATCCTTGGGGTGATCTGTCCCTGGGACATTGACAATGAGGTCCCTGTCCTCCATGTCCCATTCTATTCCCCATGTTCCCAAATATGGGGTGCCTAGTCCCTGCTGTCCCAACCATGTGGTGCCCTGTCCCCCCTGTTCCCATCCACAGGGTGCCCTGTCCCCACTACCCTCCTGTACCTGTCAGACGGGGACAGCACGCCGAAGTCAAAGCTCTCCTCGGTGACAAATCGAACATCTGGGGGGACACCAGGGGTGAGCCGCGGCCCCCCGCCCCAGGGGGGAAACACAGGGGACATGCAGCACTGGTGCTGCCGTACCTCGGTCCTCGGCCATCGCCTCGGGGCACTGGGGCCACCTGTGGGAGCTGGGGGAGTCACCACCGACCCCATCAGGGTTCCCCCCACCTGCCCCTCCCCACCCCTCCGTGTCCCCAACCCCCCGCGGGGGCCCGGTGGCACCAGCCAGCACGCGGGTGACACAGCCAGTGCCAGGCACCGCCGGGCTCAGTGCCAGCCGGGATGGGGACAGGGATGGCTCTGCCAGTGCCAGTAGGTGGGGGTGACACCAGCGACCCCCGCCCGGGGAACCCACAGCCCAGCACCCCTAGCCCGGGTGTCCTCAGTGCCACATTGGGAAGTCCCAGCCCTGCACCCTGATCCGTGTGTCATTGTCCCCAGTGCCACAATGGTAGTTCCCAGTCCCTATCAGGGGACCCCAGCCCAACACTGAGAGGGCCCAACCCCACAGGGAGGTCTCAGCCCCACACCCAGGGGACCCCCAATTCCACACCCAGAGGGGCCCAGCCCTAAACCCCAATCCCGGGGGGCTCCCAGCCCCACATCTTGATCCTCAGGGGGTCCCAGCCCCACGCTAGGGGACCCCATTCCGGTACCTAGGGGTCCCAGCCCTTTACTCCAATCCCTTAGGGACCCCAGCCACACACTGAGGGGGTCCCATCCACTTTCCTAGACCTCCCAGCTCCCAGGCGGGGGGGTCTCAGCCCCAAACTCGACCGTGGGGGGTCCCATTCCCATTCCTGGGCCTCCCAGCCCCACGCTGTGGGGTCTCAGCCCCATAATGGGGCGATCCCTCTCCCACACCTGGGGAATCCCCCAGCCCCGCATCCCCAGCCCAGGAGACCCCAGTCCCACATTGAGGGGGTCCCAACTCCAGACTAAGAGGTTTCCAGCCCCACCGACGAGTCCTAGCCCCGCACCCCAGTTCCTTGGTGACCCCAGCCCCACACTGAGAAGGTCCCAGCTCCCACCGGGGGTCCAGGCCTCACAGCTCCAGCCTGGCGGTCCTCAGTCCCTACCAGATCTCAGCCCGTCACCCCGACCCCATGTCACCCCATCTTCGCATGAGGTGGTTTCCCGGCGCTCCGCGGCCCCCCGAGCTCCCTGCGGGCTCCCCCCCACCCGGGGGTCTCGGTCTGCCCCCGTCCCCCTCCCCCACCTCACCGCCCCCGGCTCCCGCTTGCCGCGCGCGCCGAGAAGGCGTGGCCTAGCGAAAGGGGCGTGGTCTCGTTCCAATCCCCCCTCCCCTTGCGGCTCGATCGCGGCGCGCCCGCCCCGGGGTCCGATTGGCCCACGCCCTTTAAACCTCCACTCTGATTGGCCAATCTCCTCGCCTTTCACCTCAGTGATTGGCTCTTCCCCACCCCCATGCCCCGCCCCCATCAGCTGGGGGTGTGGCCCGGAAGCGCGGCGCCTGAGGGTCGTTCCGCCGCCGGTGCCGCCGCAGCATGGCCGCCGTCCCGCCCGACTCCTGGCAGCCTCCCACCGTTTCGATGGAGACCACGTAAGGGGCGGGGCATCGCCCCGGTACCGGCACCGGAGACCCTGCCCACCCTTTGTCCCTCCTGCTTCCGCGGCACTGGGGGTAAATCGGTGCCCGCTCCCTTTCCCCCCGGCTTCCATGCAGCCCCTGTGTTCTTGAGTCCCTGGTCCTCGCGGTACGGGGCAGTCCCCCGTGTCCGTAAGCCCCTGGTACCAGGCAGACCCTGAACTCCACAGGTGCTAAGAAGCTCCCAGTGTCTCCAGAACGGGACAGCTCCGTTATCCCCCAGTATGAGCTAGTCCTGGTTTCTGCCCCGGTACTAGGGAGCCCCTGGTTCCCCCGGTGTCCCCCATAGTGTTCGTAACCCCCAGGCCCCTCGGTACCAGGCAGATCCCAGTGACACCGTGGTATCCCGTTAGCCCCAGTGTCTCCCGATACCGCACAGAATTAGCCATTCCTGCTTGTTTCCCCTAGTTCCAAGAGCCATCCATCCATGTCTTCCTGGTGTTCCATTGTTCCCCAGTACCAACAGCCCCCATTGCCCCCCATCCCCTCTCACCCCTGTGGTCCCTGTCCCTGACTGACCCTGGGGGATGGAGGAGGAGGGAGTGGGGGGGTCATGTTGAGGTGTTTCCTGGTACCCTCCCCATTCCTGTTCTCATTCCCATTCCCAGTATTCCTATTTCCCATTCCCTGGATGGCCTGCTTGGTGCTGGAGCTGTATTAACAGCACAGCCCCCTGACTTTGGTCTGCAACTGGGCTTGGGGATCACAGTGGGATGACCCTACCCTGCAGCTGCAAGAATTGACCCTATAGGTGGAGGAGTTCAGAACTGGTTGACCTATCTCCTGTTCCCATTCCTGGTGTTGTTCCCCATTCCCAGTGTCGTTCCTGTTCCTGGTTTTCCCATTCCCAAGATGGGGTCTCCAGTGCTGGAGCTGTACTGGCAGACAAAGCCCCTAGCTTTGGTCTGAAACTGGATTTAGGAGTGACAGTGTCATGACCCTGTCTCCAGTTCCCATTTCCAGTGCTGTTCCCATTCCCAATCCTGCTATTCCCATTCACAGAATAAGCCTGCTGGTGCTGGAGCTGCACTGGCAACACAGCCCCTGGCTTTGGTCTGAAGCTCAGGATGTGGGTATCACTTTGGGATGACCCTATTTCCTTTTCCCATTCCCATTACTGTTCCCCATCTCTGATACCTTTCCCATTCCCTGTGTTCCCATCCCAGGATGGGCCCAATTGTGCTGGAACTGTACTGGCAACATGCCCCCCGCACCTGCAAGAACTTTGCTGAGCTGAGCCGCCGTGGGTACTACAACGGCACCAAGTTCCACCGCATCATCAAGGACTTCATGGTGCAGGGAGGAGACCCCACGGGTACTGGTGAGTGCAGGCCTCTGAAATCTCCCAGCGACTCTCCCTGGTGCCAGGGGTTCCTGCTGACCCCCGAATCCCCATGCAGGCCGTGGAGGTGCCTCCATCTATGGGAAACAGTTTGAGGATGAGCTGCACCCTGACCTGAAGTTCACTGGTGAGTGGAGCCAGCCCTGGGAGAACACTGGAGGGGCATCCCTGGGACCCGAGGACCCCACCTATAGGGGAACAGGACCCCTGAGAACACACCTGTGGATGGGATGAGATGTCCCCATCTATGTCCTTATCCATGGAGTGACATGACTCCCAGGACTACAGTCATGGGGTGGCATGTCTCAAGGAGGCTGGTCATGGAGTATGTCCTCCCGGACCCTGGCCATGAGGTGGCATGTTTCCCCTGTCCCCCAAGATCCTGTCTATAGGGTGACAAGTCCCCTGTGTCCCGAAAACCCCATCCACGGAGTGACATGACCCCAAGGAGCTTTGTCATGGGATGCCCTCTCCTCTATTTCCCCATTCTTGGTGTGACGTGTCCCTGTGTCCCACAGACACTAGGATCCTGGTGATGGCCAACATGGGGCTGGACACTAACAGGAGCCAATTCTTCCTCATGTTCCCCTAAGACCTCTCCATTGCATGACATTTTCCCCATGACACCAGAACCTCAGCCAGGGGATGACGTGTCCTTGAGACCCCATCCATGGGGTGGCATGTCCTCTATATCCCCCAGGACCCCATCCCTGGAGTGGCATGTCCTCCAAGACCTTGGCCATAGCATGGCATCTCCCTCAGGGTGCCAGGACCCTTGGTCCATGTCCCTCAGGCACTGGGATCCTGGTGATAGCCAGTATGGGGCTGTACCCCTATGGGAGCAAGTTGTAACTGATGTCCACTAAGACCCCTCCATCAGGTGACAGGTTCCCCAGGAGCCTGTCCATGGAGTCACATGTCCCAAGGATTGAAGCCATAGGATGACGCCCTCCAGGATCCCAACTTTGGAGTGACATGTTTCCCGTCGTACTGGGATCTTGGTCATGAGATGACATCCCCCCATGGGATGACATGTCCCCCATCATGCTGGAACCTTGCTGTGGGGTGGCATGTCCCCTGTATCCCCATCCATGACGTGACATGTCCCCATGTCTCACAGGCGCCGGGATCCTAGCAATGGCCAATGCAGGGCCGGACACCAATGGAAGCCAATTTTTCCTGACACTGGGCCCAGCACAGTGGCTGGATGGGAAGCACAGCATTTTTGGGAGGGTCTGCCAAGGAATGGGGGTGCTGGGGCGCCTAGCCATGGTGGAGACCAACTCCCAGGACCGACCCCTCGACGATGTAAAGGTCATCAAGGCGTATCCCTTGGGGTAGGGGTGTGACGTACCCTCCCTCCACATTGTACTGCACGTTTGTAATAAAGGAGGTTGGATGTGGTGGGCTCTCCCACAGAGTGGTGGTTTTAGGGGGAGGTGGGGGAAGTGTTTTTGGCATGGTGGGGGTCTGGGAGATTGTGAGTTCCCCATAAAGGGTTTGTGGGTACCCTTGGAGGTGTGGGTGTCTTTCCTTGGGGACATGGAGCTACCAGTGGCCGCAGTTCCTGGGTGTGCAGAGTGGATGCCAGAGACCCAAATTTACCCCTACTGTGAGGTGCCTGTGTGTCCTCAAAGTTTGCTGGGACCCCCCAGAGTGTCCCTCCGTCATGGACCAGTTGGATCACTGAGCTTTGGGTGGAAAGGGGGGGTTGATGCTGTCCCCCTAGAGTGGGCTCCCCACACAGCACTGGGGACCCTCAAACTGGCAGTGGAGTCCTCATGCCAGCACACACTGGGTTCCCCTCTGGCACTAGGTAACCGCCCCCAGCAATGGGTGTCCCCTCTGGCTCTCAATGTCACCTCCCTCGCTCCCAGTGCAGGACCTGGGACAGTACTGGGAGTTGCTGGATGTTTCCAGAATGGTGCAGAGGTGATATTGGGAGCTACTGGGGGATAGCAGAGGACTGGGGGACTCTGTGTTTGCAGTTGGTGGAGATAATGTGAAGGTTCTGATTAAGGGGGAACTAGAGGGATTGGGGCCTCATTCTGGGGAGTGGGTGGTATCGGGAGTGTCACTATGGCACAGGGGGCGGGCACACTGGAAGGGTGCTGGGGCTACCGGGGAGGGAACACCGGGGGTCCGGTCTAGGGGTGATCCCGGGGGCGCTACCAATCGTCCATGGTGTACCAGGGTCTGGAGGCAGCTTCGGGGCGGTAGCCGTGATCTTGGGGCGATCCCAGGTCTGATCCTTGGTACCCGTGTCCGGGGGGCACTGGGGATGGGGAGGCAGCGCTGGTGACGATGCGGGGGAAGGCACTGGCCTTTCTCAGACTGATGCCGGGGATCTGGGGGTGATGCTGGGGATCTGGGAGCTATCCCGGGCACAGTACCGGTGGTCCGAGGCGGTATCGGGAATGAGGAGGCGGCCCCGCGGGCAATGCGAGGGAGGTACCGGTGGTCGGGGGAGGTACAAGGGATTTGGTACAAGGGATTTGGCCTTGATGCCGGAGCGATCCCGGGAATCTGAGGGGGATCCCGGGGACAGGACCGGGCTTCCGGGGGGAACCGGGCTATGGAGGCGGCCCTGGAGTTGATGCGGGGGCCATCCCGGAGATTTGGCGGCATTTCCGAGGCGGAGCCGGTGGGGTCCTTCGGGCCGGGGAGGTGCCGGGGTGGTACCGGGGATTTGGAAGCAGGCCCGGAGGTGGTGCGAGGGTAGATCCCAGGAATCTGGGGGTGATCCCGAAAATTTCGGGGAGATCCCAGGGGCAGTATCGAGGGTCCATGGTAGTACCGGAGAAGGGGAGCCGGCCCCGGGGGCGATCCCGGAGGCGGTACCGGGGATCTGGGGGCGGTCCCGAGCCGGTCACGGTCTCCCGACAGGGGTCGCGAAGAAGAGCCCGGGGCACTCCCTCGGCGCGGGGCCAGGACCGGTGCCAGAAGCCGCGGGCGGTGCCAAGGGCGGTCCCGATCTCCCGGCAGGCGGTCCCGAAGAAGACCCCGGGGCAGTCCCTCGGTGTGGGGCCGGAGCCGGTACCGGGAGCCCCGGGCGGTGCCAAGGGCGGTCCCGAGGCGGAGCCGATCGCGATCGCAGTGCTAGTGCCGGTGTCGGGGCAGCGACGGAGCCCGGGGCATGGCGGGCCTGGGTGCCTCGGAACCGGGCACCGGCCCCGGTGCTGTCCCGGCCACTCGCGTGGAACTCACAGTGTCCTGCAGGTAGCGGGGCCGCGGCGGGAGCCGGCACCGGGCGGCGGGGGCGCAGGGAGGCGCTGCTGCTGGCGTTGGAAGGTGCTGGGAGGCACTGGGTTGCACTGTGGTGACTGTGGTGTAGGGGTAGCTGCCGTTGGAGGGTGCTGGGATTCACAGAGAGGCACTGGGAAGCACTGGGGAGCGGCATTGGAGGGTGCTGAGGTACATTGGGAGGCACTGAGATCCCGTGGAATAGACTGGGAAGCATTGGAGAGTTGGGAGCAGTTGGCGTTGTAGGGCACTGGGTTGCACTGGAGCGCAATGAGATGCATCGGGAGGCACTGGAGTGCCGCAGCAGCTGCCGTCGAAGGATGCCAGGGTGCACTGTGATGCACTGAGGTCCCCTGAGATGCACTGGAATGCACCGGAGAGAGAGAGCAGTTGGTGGTGTGAATTGCTGAGATGTACTGGAATGCACTGAGATGCTCTGGAAGTCACCGTGAGACATTAGGGAACGAGGTGCAGTCGGCAATGAAGAGCACTGGAAGGCATGGGGAGGCACTGGGGAACAAGGCAGCTGGCGCTGGAGGCACTGAAATGCCTTAGGAGGCACTGGCATTCACTGGAAGACACTGGAATGTGCTGGGAGGCGTTGGGGAGCATGGGGAGCACAGGGAGTGTTGGGTATGGGGACAGAGGGGCACTGGGTGAGCCAAGGGTGCTGAGGATGCTGGGCACTGAGGGGAGTGGGGGGCACGAGGGGGCATTTGGGGGTTTCTGGCACTGGGAGTGCAGGGAGGTCAGGTTTGGGGGATTCTGGGGATGCAGGGGGGTCAGGTTGGACCCTTTATCCCCTGCAGCCCCTGTGTCTCTTGCCCAGCCTGAAACTCCTGAATCCCCAGTCTGGGCCACACTGCATCATCTACATCCCATGTACCCCCTGCTCACCCTGTAGCTCCTGTACCCTCCCTCTGCAACCTGAGGTCTTTCTTTGGTGTCCTGATAGCTGTACCCCTGACATATGGCACTCCAACATGTGTCATGCTGTGCACCCTGTGCAGATGTGTCTGTGCACCCCAACTTGTGCTGCGGGGCACATCTGGTAGTGCACCCTAACACCCAGCCATGATCACCAACACTTGGCCAGGCTCACCAATGCCCTGCTGTGCACCCTGACACATGGTTGAGCCCCCAGCGCATGGCCCCCCAACATGTGTCAAACATGCTTTGCACCACAATCCATGTCGTGGGGCACACCTGGTTGCTCACACCCTGCCATGCACCCTCTCACACAAGAGGGCACGACCTGAGGCTGTGCACCTCAGCGTGTGTTCTGCGGCACATCTGACTGCATAATGGGTACACGCAGTCACAGACACAGCCAGATGCTCACATTCACATTCACACTCACTCACACACACACACACACATGCATGCACACTCACACTCACTCCTCCTTGCTCCCCAGGCAGCTCCTGGACAGGGACACCTTCTCCAAGTCGGACCCAAGTGAGTGAAGCAGGGGGGATGGGATATGTTTTGGCTCTTGGGTGTTTTGGGGAGTCTCTGGGGAGCTTGGAGTTTCTGGGGCTTTTGGGGTCTCTGGAAGGTCTCAGGGGATTTTTAGATCTCTGGGGGGTTTGGGGGTCTCTGGGGATCGGGGGGAGGTCTCTGAGGTATTTTGGGACTATCTGGGGGTTTTGGGGGGTCTTTGGGAGCATCAGTGTCTCTGGGGAGTGTTATGGTCTCTGGGGGTTTTTGTGGTCTCTGAGGTATTTTGGAGGATCTCTGGGATTGTTGTGGTTCTGTGAGGTTTTGGGAGTCTCCAGGACATTTTGGAGGGTTCTAGGGGTCTTGGGAGCTCTAGGGAGTGTTGGGGACTCTGGGGGTTTTGGGTGGTCTTTGGGGTTTTGGAGATCTCTGGGGGATTTGGAGAGCCTCTGAGGTGTTTTGGGGGTGTCTGGGGGATCTTAGGAGGTTTCAGGGGAGGTTCGGGGGTGTCTCTGAGGTGTCTTGGGGGTCTCTGGGGATGCCTGCCTCTCCTGACCACTCCCCCTGCAGTCTGTGTGCTGTACACGCAGAGCCCTGGCAGCCACCAATGGCGGGAGGTGAGTGACTTGATTGGTGGGGGGGCAGCCAATCAGCATGTTGTGCTGTGCTCAGCTGGCCAATTGGTATGTTAGTGTGTACTCAGCCAGCCAATCACGATGTTGGGGTACTAGCTGGCCAGCCAATCATCAGCATGCTGGGGCAGTGAACAATCAGCATGTCTGTGTGCCAACCAGATGGCCAATCAGCATGTCAGAGGTGATGGCAGCCAGCCAGCCAGCCAAGCAGCATGTAAGATTCTGGCCTATCAGATTGTTGGGGTGATGGCCAACTGGCCAATCAATGTGTTGGGGTACCAACCAGTTGGCCAGTCACCAGTGAGCAATCAGCATCTTAGGGTGCAGCACCTGGACAATGACCATTCTGGGATGCAGCAGCCATCCAATCAATGCCTGGGGGCAGAGCGATCAGCCACCCAGCATTCTGGGGATCTGGGGAGCATGTCGAGGTGCCGGGCAGCCAGCCAATCAACTGTCGGCATGCAGCCAGGCCCCGCCCATCGTAATTAACATTGTGTTAATTACGGGGTAATGAGCAGGGGGTGGGGCAGCCCCGAAGCACAAAGCGGCACCTGGGCCTTCTCTGCCCCTGCCCACCCCTTTCCCACCCATGTCCCCACACGTGCCCTGGCCCGGGCCAGCCGCTGCCCACCATTGCCCCACCTTGTCCGCCCACGTGTCCTCGTGTCTCCAGTCTCATGTTCTCATGTCTCTGTGTCCCCGTGTTGCTATGTTCCCATATGCTCGTGTTCCCATGTCCCCAGACCCATGCCCACATGTTGTCATGTCCCTGTGTCTCCATGTCACTGTGTCCCCATATCTGTATGTCCCCATGTCCACATTCTTTTGTCCCACTGCCCCCATCCCTATGCCCCCACCCTCATTCCCATGCCCCTGTTTTCTGGTGCTGTGTTCACACATCCCTGTGTTCCCATGTCGTCATATCCCTGTGTCTTCATCCCTGTGCTGCCATGTCTCTGTATCTCCATGTCCCCATATCCCTGTATCCCCACCCCCCTTGCCCATGTTCCCATGCCTTTGCTCCCATGTCTCATCATCTCTATGTCCCCATGTCCCTGTGTCCAAATCACCACATCCCCATGTCCCTGTCCCTACCCCATGTTTTCCTGTCACCCCATTATCCCTGCTGTCCCCGTATTCCCCAGTTTGGCCGAACCGAGGTCATCGACAATTCCCTGAATCCTGACTTCCTGCACAAGTTTGTCCTTGATTATTGCTTTGAGGAGCGGCAGAACCTCCGCTTTGACCTGTGAGTGGCCCCAGTGGCCCCAGTGTCACCCCCAGTGTCACCCCCAGTGTCAGCCCTCTGTCCCTTGGCAACCCTGGCACAGCCCCCCAGGGTGTCCTTGTCCCCATCCCTGTTCTGTCCCCATTCCTGGACCACTGCCACCCTTGTTCACATCCCTGTCCCCATCCTTGTCCAATCCTGTTGTCATCCCTATCCTATCCACTCCCCATTCTGTCCTTGTCCCATCCTGTCTCTATCCACATCCCATCCCTGTCCATTCCATTGTGTCCCTATCCCATCCCATCCTGTTCCTGTACCCATCCTTGTCCCATCCTATCCTTATTCTTTTCCCCATCCCATCCCCACACCTAATCCATCCCTAGTTGTGTACCAACCTTCTCTCATCCCATCCCTCCCGCTCTATGTCCCCCTCCCATGCAATCCCTGTCTCCATCCCTGTTCCCATACTTGTCCCATCCAAGGCCCCCCCCACCCTTCCCGTTCCATGCCAACATGTCACCTCTGCCCCCAGGTATGATGTGGACTCCAAGAGCCCTGACCTCTCCAAGCATGTAAGTGCAGGATCAGCCCTACTCCCTTGGCCTCCCTGGGGTGGGCACCCCCACTGGTGACACCCAATATTCCCGATCCTGCAGGATTTCCTCGGCCAGGCATTCTGTACCCTGGGAGAGATCGTGGGCTCAGCTGGCAGCCGCCTGGAGAAGCCCCTGACGTGAGACCCCCTTTGCCCCAGTGTCCCCATATCCTACCCCAGAGAAGCCCCTGATATGAACCCCCCCAGCCCCAGTGTTGCCATGTCTCCCCCCTACCCCAAGAAACCCCTAGTTTGAGCCTCCACTGTGGTCCAGTGTCCCCAAAGTCCTCAGGGTCACCATGCCCCACACTGGAGAGACTCCTGATGGTAGCCACCCTCGTCCCTAGTGTCCTGTAGTCCCTATGTCTCTGCCCCAGGGAAGCCCCCAGTGTGAGCCACCTCCCCCACACATCCCAATGTCCCTGTGACCTCTCCCATGGAGGAGCCCTTGACATGAGTCCTGCTTGTGCCCCAGTGTTCCTGAAGTCACCATATCCTCTTTGGAGAAAATCCTGGGTTTCTCCAAAACCAATGTTTTGGAGAAAACTGGGAAACTCAGTGTCCCCATGTCCCTCCCTGGAGAAGCCCTTGACATGAACCCCCATGGCCCCAGTGTCCTTATGTCTCCCCAGGTCCCTTTTGGTGTGCCCAGGATGGACCCAGACCCCAGAGCCAACAGTGGCATTTTGGATTGGGGGGTGGGAGGAGTCTGGCTTTTTTTTTTTTTTTTTTTTTTTTTTTTTGGGGGTGGCTTTTGGCAGGAAAGGCATTTTGGGGTCTGGCTTTTTCTTGGGATGGTGGCTTTTGGAGGGAATATAGGTTTGGGGGAATCTGGCTTTTGAATGATCTGGCTTTTGGGGGGGCTCTGGCTTTTGAAGGGGTCTGATGTTTTTGGGATTGGCTTTTTCAGGGGCACTTTTGTGGGAATTGACTTTTTGGGGGGATGAATGTCTTGGGGACTGGCTTTTATGAGGGGAGCAACAGCTTCTTTTTAGGATGCTGGGATCTGGGGGGGGTGGGGGGGGGCCTGTTTTTTTGTTGTTTTTTTGTAGACTTCCTTTTTTTGGAAGGGAGGGCTTTTTATTGGGTGGGGATTCCCTCCATCACCCTTCAGCATGTGTCCCTACAGGATGGGGACAGCCACCATGCATCCCCGGGGCAGGAGACCTGCCTTGGCTGCCTCCAGTGGGTAAGTTTTGGGGTGCTCAGTGTGCGGGGGACACCTCCAAGACACTATGTGTGCCCCCACTACGCTCACATCCCATCCTGGCAGTGGCATTCTAGGGAAGAAGTGCGGCACCATCATACTCCTTGCTGAAGAGCTGGTAAACTGCCGGGTGAGCTGCGGCAGGGCAGGGGAGGGGGCGTTGCTTGGGGTCCCCAAAATATCGAGGGTGGCTGAGACACACTAGCCCGCAGATGAGACTGTGTGCTGTTTATCCTCACGTGGGGTCCTGTCTGTCCCGAATCCCTCCTTCCTGCCTGGAGCAGCCGCCCTGAAGGATCCCACCCCTGAGGGGGGTGCAGGATGGATGACCCCGTCGATTCCACCCCCCAGGATGTGGCCACACTCCAGTTCTGCGCCAACAAGCTGGATAAGAAGGATTTCTTTGGAAAATCTGACCCCTTCATGGTCTTCTACCGCAGCAATGAAGATGGGACGTGAGCAACCCCCCCTCAAAACTTCAGTGACCTTCCCACACCTCACGAGAGGGCTCAGCCCTAGCACAGGACACCCCTACGTCCCCATGGGCTGGGATTGGCAGGGGTGTCCAAAAATCCTCACTGCACTGTGGGGGTGACAGACTGGGGGGGTGTTGGGATGGGGGAGTAGCTCCCTTGTACCCCCTTGTGTTCCCCCCAGTTTTACCATCTGCCACAAGACGGAAGTGGTGCGGAACACACTGAACCCTGTCTGGGCGGCATTTGCCATTCCTGTGTGTGCCCTCTGCAATGGGGACCATGACCGGTGAGTGCCAAGGGACTGGGACCCCCTGCACTGCCTCTTTGGCCCCAAAGACCTCATTCTCCCTCTTCCCCCCATATCTAGGGTGCACTAGGACCCCTGAGCCCCCTTCCCCCATCTCTGTCATGGCCAGGGACACCCTGCACTCCCATCTTTGTGGTCCTCTGGGACCCCCTGAACCCCTTTCCCCTCATCTCTATGGGCCCTCAGGACCCCCTTTTCCTTCTTTCCCCCATCTCCTGGGTCCTCCAGGAAGCCCTGCACCCCATGTCCCCATCTCTGTGGTACCTCTGGACTCCCAGAACTCCCTCACTCCATGTCCATGATGCTCCAGGACCCCCTTCCCCTCTCTCTGTGGTTCCCCAGAATTCCTTCTCCTGAGTCTGTGGTACCTCAGGACCCCCTGCAGCCCTTCCACCTTCTCTGTGGCCCCGTGAGACACCCTTCCCCCCACCTCTGTGGCCACCTGAGATGCCCAGAACCCCTTCCCCTGTCTCTGGTACCAGTAGCACACCCCCGCCCCCCCTACCCAGTGTTACCTGCTTTTGCCTCAGTTTACCCAGCAATGGGCATCACAGCTGTCATCGAGCTATTCCTCCCCCCCAACCCCCATCCCAAATCAGTGTCACCAGCTATTGTCCTGGCAAACAGTTCCTCACACTGCTTTGGCCCCAGGTTGGATGTTGCTGTGGCAACGATGGATAAAAATATCCCAAGGAGGAGGAGAAAGAAGCAGGAAAAAGCCCACAGAGGCGTCAAAACAAATCCCACAGGGAGTGGGGGGTTGTGTGTGATGGGTCTCCAGGGGAGGAAGGGGGATGGGATTTGGGGGTATCAGGGGGTGTCAGTGACCCTCCTTTGCCTTGCAGAGCCATCAAGGTAGAGGTATATGACTGGGACCGTAATGGCAGGTGAGCTGTGTGTGGTCCTGGGGATCCCCCACACCCTGGACCTGCACCCCCCGTGTGACAGGGACCCCCCACCACGCTGGCATCCCTGGGGAGATGGAACCCCTCTGGGTTTTGGGGACCTCCCAGTTGATGGGAATCCCCCCAGGCTATTTGGGACTCCCTGGCTGATGGGAAATTTCCTGGGCAATGGGAAGCCCCCCATCCCCACACCCCTGAGTGATGGGGAACCCCCTGGGTAATGGGAACCTCCCTAACTGGACTGATGGAGATCCACCGGCCTTGCAGCCATGACTTCATTGGGGAGTTCACCACCAGCTACCGGGAGCTGGCACGAGGCCAGAGCCACTTCAACGTGTATGAGGTAAGGGGGATGGGTATATGGGTCCTGCACCCCACCCCCGCTCCATGGGGGTCATGCTCCTACTGCTGCACCCCCAGGGGTTACGGTCTCCAGGGACCCTGTGCTGCACCCCTGTGTGTTGGGGTCTTAACATTGCACCCCTTGGGTGTTATGGTCCCCAGGGTCCCTCACTCTGCTACAGCTGCGCATGCTGGGGTCTCTGTGTAGGTGCTACATACGCCAGGATCCCCATGATGCAGTCCTGGGGTGTTACATTTCCCAGGGTCCCTCCCAACCCTGTACCCTAGTGTGCCATATACTCACAGGGTCTTCCCTTGTAGAACCTAGTCTACAAGGGTCCCCCTCCTGCACTCTGATGTCGTGGTGCCCAGGGTGCTCATGCTGCAGCCACAGAGGTTTATAGTCCCCCTGATTCCCTGTGCCCCAGGGTTTTGGGACCCCCACACTGCACCCCTGGGGTGTTATGGGTTCCATGCTGCACCCTGGGGTGCAAGACCCACAGCTGCTTCCTTGAGGGTCTCCAGCCCCCACCATGGATCTCCAGCTGCACTACAATCCCCAGAGTCCCCACATGCACCCCTGGGTGTCACAGCCCACCATGTGCTTCTCAAGGTCCCTCTCTGCACCTCAGCACAATGCTCCCACTGCCCTCCCCCCCAGCATATTCTGTGCCCCCCTGTCGCCCTGGATGTGACAGTCTGTTACACTGCTCCCTGGGGCCTCCTGTCCTTGTGAAAAGCAGCCCCTTTTTCTCTCCTCCCATCCCTGCAGGTGGTGAACCCCCGGAAGAAGATGAAGAAAAAGAAGTACCTGAACTCGGGGACAGTGAGGAGGGGCATATGCAGAGCGGGGGTGACACAGGGAGATGAGGAACTTCCTCCCCTGAGCCCCATGTCCCCACAGGTGACACTGCTGTCCTTCACTGTGGAGGCCGAGCACACCTTCCTGGACTACATCAGGGGCGGGTGAGCAGGGGGTCTCCAGCACCTCCAGCTGCACTTTTGAGGGTCCTGCTCCTTCCTTGGGGGGACCCAGCACCCTATGCTGCTCTTTCAAGGGCAGGGAATCCCCAACATCCCCAGCTTCTACTTCACAGGCAGGCAGGTCCCCAGGACCCCCGTCTTCTCCCTTGGAGGTCCTCAGTACCCACAGTTGCTCCATCGGGGAGGGGGCGATGTGATGTTCCAGATATCCTCAACTCCTCCCTTTGGGATCCCCAACACCCCCAGCATCTCCACTGGGGGGTCCTCAGCTCACCTAACCCCTCCACTGGGGATCTCAGCATCCCCACCCAGATGCCTCCTTGGGGGCAGACTGTCCCCATCACCCACAGCTGCTTCACTGGTAGTCCTCAGAACCCACAATGGCTCCCTTTAGAAATCTCCAGCACTCCCAACAGCTTTGGGGTCCCCAACACCCACAGCTGCTCCTCTGGGGAAAGAGGATCCCCACCACCCCTATCTTCTCCATTGGGGGTCCTCAGCACCCCACCCAGATGCTCCCTCATGGGCAGGGGCTCCTCAGTACCCCAAATTGGTAATCTGGGGGTCCCCAGCACCCTCAGCCACTCCCTTAGGTGCAGCATGGTGACACCTCAGTGCAGGGACACTTGGGGGTGCTCTGAATTGTGATATGGGTGCACCCAGTCCAGCCTGTGGCCCCAGGGGTGCTCCACCCCAAACCCACAGATGTCACCCCAAGGCCACTTTACCCCCTCAGGACCCAACTCAACTTCACAGTGGCCATTGACTTCACAGCATCCAATGGTGAGTGGCAGCTGTGTCCCCCTGGGGTATTTAATTGGGGCAGTTGTAACCAGTTTGGTGTCATAGTGGTGCCATCCTTGTCACCAACTTGGGGACATGGTGTTTTTTTCCTTGTAGTTGTGTTGGGGACATGGTCATGTCTCCCTTGTCACTGGCTTGGGGACCCAGTGGTGTCTCCCTTGTCACTGGGTCGGTGTCATGATGGCATTGTCCTTGTTGTGGGTCTGGGCACATGGCGGCGTTATTTTTGTCATTGTATTGGCACTACATTGGTGTCATACTTGTCATCAGCTGTCTCTGGGTTGGGGATTTGGTGCCATCATCATCATTAAATTTGGGACAGAGTGGTGCCATTCTTGTCAATGGGTTGGGGTCATGGGAATGTCATCTTTGTCACTGTCAGTTCCATGGTGGCGTCATCCTTGTCACCAGCTGTCACCAGACTGGGGACGTGGTGGCATCACCCTTGTCACCAAGTTGGGAATATGGTGGTATCATCCTTGTCACTGGGTTGGGGATGTGGTGGCATTTGGAGACATAGTGCGATCATCCGTGTCCTTGTCATCATGTTGGGGATGACATCATCCTTGCCACTGGGTTGGGGCTATAATGGTGAGGTTGTGGGAATGCTGGGGGTGCTGGGGGGATTATGACAGTGCTGGGGGGGCTGTGGGGGTGCTGAGCCCCATGCCTGTGCAGGGAACCCGTCACAGCCCACGTCCCTGCACTACCTGAGTCCCTTCCAGCTGAATGCTTACAGCCTGGCACTGAGGGCCGTGGGGGACATCATCCAGGACTACGACAGTGACAAAATGTTCCCAGCCCTTGGCTTTGGTGCCAAGGTTCCCCCAGATGGGCACGTGTCCCACGAGTTCCCACTGGTGAGGGGCCAAGGGGGGACAGGACTGTGCATGAAGGGCGGTGTCCTTGTCACACAGTTGGGGACATGGTAGTATCATCCTGTCACGTTGTTTGGGACATGGAGGGACATTGTCCTTGTGTTGGGGCTATGGTGGTGTGATCCTTGTACTGGTCTGGGGCCATGGCAGTGTCATCTTTATGACCAGGTTAGGAATGGGCTTGGTGTTGTCACCAGTTTGGGGTCAGTGGTTTCATCCTCGATCACCAAGTGTGGTACGTGGTGTGTTTGAGTTGGATCTGAATTGGGGATGTGGTGGTGTCATCCTTATCCTTGGGCTGGGGACATAGAGGCATCATCATTTTGTGACTAGTTTGGGGTCACGGCAGTGTCACCAGGTTGGAGACACAGTAGTATCATCCTCATCACCAGGTCCAGGATGTGGTGGTGTGGTCTTTGTCACTGTGCTGGGCATATGATGATATTGTCCTTGTCACCTATTTTCACTGTGTTAGGGACATGGTGGTATCATTCTTGTCACTGGGTAGGGGATGTGGTGGCATTTTCTTTGTCACTGGGGATGTGGTGGTGTCATCCTTGTCTTGGGCTGGGAACAGTGGTATCATTTTGTCACTGGGTTGGGGCCATGGCAGTATTATTCTTGACACTGAGTTAGGAACATGTTGGTGTCTTTCTTGTCACCACATTGTGGACATGATGGGATCATCCACCCCGCAAATCATCAGCATTTGGGGGCCATGGCAATGCCATCTTTGTCTGTGGGCGGGTCCGTGGTGTCACCCTGCCCATGGGTGGGGGCTGTGGTGTCACCGTGGTCCTGGTGACCCCACGGCAGAATGGGGATGCATCAAACCCGGCGTGCCATGGCATTGCGGGGGTGCTGGAGGCATATCAGCGCAGCCTGCGCCATGTCCAGCTCTATGGCCCCACCAACTTTGCCCCTGTTGTCAACCATGTTGCCCGGTAAGAGGGGCCCCATGCCCTGGGGTGGGGTCCCTGTGCCCTCCACGTCACACAGGGTCCCCCTAGCTCGGCGGCCACGGTGCTGGACGGGTCCCAGTACTTTGTCCTCCTCATCATCACCGATGGTGTCATCTCTGACATGGCCCAGACCAAGGAGGCCATCGTCAATGTGAGACCCTCGTGGTGGCATTGCGGTGGGTGGTGGCACCCCTGGGTGCTGGGACCCTTGGCTAATGGGGGCAGCGGGAAGGGATTGAGACCCTTGAGGGGGTAGGAAAGGTTGGGGACCCCTGGGTGCTGGAGTGTTGAGGAGGAGCTAGAACCCTTAGAGGTCAGGAAGGGGCTTGGACTCCTGGGTTCTAAGGGACTGGGGATGGCTGGGACTCCTTGGGTGATGGGGTGGGTGAGGAGGAGCTGGGACCCTGAAGCTGAGAGGGAGGGGTGGGTTGGACCCTTGCATGCTGGAAGGGAGGGGGGAAGGGGCTGAGACCCCTGGGTGCTGGGGCAGTGAGGAGGGATTGGGACCATTGAGAGGTGGGAAAGGGCTTTGACCCCTGGGGTTGAGAAGGGGCTTGGACCCCCAGGGTTCGATGTGTAGGGGTGTCTGGAATCCCTGGGTGCTGCAGGGGAGCTGGGAAGTTCCTGGAGCCCCCTGGTGCTGGTGGGGAGGTCTGAGACCTTTGGGTGGTGAGGGGGGTGGTGAGGGACTGGAATCCTTGAGGGAGGGGGTGTTGGCACTCCTGGGTGCTGTGGGGAGGGAAAGGTGGCTCATTTGGTGGCAATATCATTAAATTGCATGGGACTCCCTTCACCCCCTGGCTCCCTAAGGCTGCCAAATT